TGGAATTTGTCATGGGGCTCAAAACAATTAACCATCTCAACCATAATTACCCAACAAAAGGCTGCAGTTAAAATGATAACAAATTCTCACAACAGGCAGCACACCCACCAATATTCAAAAAAACTCAACCATTTACCAACAAAAACCCATACTTATTACGCACCCATTACATACAAGAACACTTAAAATCTGATATTAACCCCTCCCCTCAAAAAATCTCCTTGCCAAAACCCCAAAAAACACATGACCATAAAACAAGGGACAGATCACTCTTTGATTTCCTCGTGTCCATCTCACCTAGCAAAAACTCAAGCAAATAAAAGGCCCCAAAATCGGAATTCATTACCTGTAATATAAAAGAAACACTCCTTTTTATAAATTCAAGTCTTTCTCAAAAACACTTCTCCTCAAAAACCAAATAAAAACTAATAACTGAACCTTATAAATTGTAACCCCCAATGTACTCACAATTATTCACACAAATGTTAAACCTAGGACCAAATCTAACTTGTTATTTTTTTTAAATACACTACCTAAAGAATACTCCATTTGACTGAATGTAAAGCAAAACATGCAACCATAATGAACCTTCTTTGTAAATACTCATTTGTGCTTTATAGTTATCTGCTTACAATAATGTTTTCACTGATTTCATACATTGACTTAGTTAATCTTAATTTAATTTTAAGCCAGGCCCGTAATGCTATGCATATAAGTGGCCTTGGCATGCTGCTCTTACCTGTATTTTTTGTACCTCTTATGTATTGCTAAAATTACTAATAAATAATAATAAATAAGGTGTAAGTTACTACATGCTGTAAAGAGTTTTTATGAGGATAGCTGGCTCAGGTTAGGGTGTGTAGAAGAGAGGGAGAATTCTTCCCGGTAAAAGTAGGTCTAGACAGGGATGTGTAATGTCCACTAGGTTGTTTTAATATATTAATAGATGGGGTTGTAAAAGAAGTAAATGCTAGGTGTTCGGAGAGGGTGGGATTAAATTATGGGGAACAAATTCAAAAATGGAATTGACACAGTTACTTTTTGCTGATGATACTGTGCTTATGGGAGATTCTAAAGAAAAATTGCAAAGGTTAGTGGATGAGTTTGAGAATGTGTGTAAAGGTAGAAAGTTGAAAGTGAACATAGAAAAGAGTAAGGTGATGAGGGTATCAAATGATTTAGATAAAGAAAAATTGGATATCAAATTGGGGAGTGGAGTATGGAAGAAGTGAATGTTTTCAGATACTTGGGAGTTGACGTGTCGGCGGATGGATTTATGAAGGATGAGGTTAATCATAGAATTGATGAGGGAAAAAAGGTGAGTGGTGCGTTGAGGTATATGTGGAGTCAAAAAACATTATCTATGGAGGCAAAGAAGGGAAGTATGAAAGTATAGTAGTACCAACACTCTATATGGATGTGAAGCTTGGGTGGTAAATGCAGCAGCGAGGAGACGGTTGGAGGCAGTGGAGATGTCCTGTCTAAGGGCAATGTGTGGTGTAAATATTATGCAGAAAATCAGAGTGTGGAAATTAGGAGAAGGTGTGGAGTTAATAAAGCATTAGTCAGAGGGCAGAAGAGGGGTTGTTGAGGTGGTATGGTCATTTAGAGAGAATGGATCAAAGTAAAATGACATGGAAAGCATATAAATCTATAGGGGAAGGAAGGAGGGGTAGGGGTCGTCCTCGAAAGGGTTGGAAAGAGGGGGTAAAGGAGGTTTTGTGGGCTAGGGGCTTGGACTTCCAGCAAGCGTGCATGAGCGTATTAGATAGGAGTGAATGGAGGCGAATGATACTTGGGACCTGACGATCTGTTGGAGTGTGAGCAGGGTAATATTTAGTGAAGGGATTCAGGGAAACTGGTTATTTTCATATAGTCGGACTTGAGTCCTGGAAATGGGAAGTACAATGCCTGCACTTTAAAGGAGGGGTTTGGGATATTGGCAGTTTGGAGGGATATGTTGTGTATCTTTATACGTATATGCTTCTGAACTGTTGTATTCTGAGCACCTCTGCAAAAGCAGTGATAATGTGTGAGTGTGGTGAAAGTGTTGAATGATGATGAAAGTATTTTCTTTTTGGGGATTTTCTTTCTTTTTTTTTGGGGTCACCCTGCCTTGTAAAAGTGAATACAGGAAAGAGTAAGGTTATGAGGATAACAAAAAGATTAGGTGATGAAAGATTGGATATCAGATTGGAGGGAGAGAGTATGGAGGAGGTGAATGTATTCAGATATTTGGGAGTGAACGTGTCAGTGGATGGGTCTATGAAAGATGAGGTGAATCATAGAATTGATGAGGGGAAAAGGGTGAGCAGTGCACTTAGGAGTCTGTGGAGACAAAGAACTTTGTCTCTGGAGGCAAAGAGGGGAATGTATGAGAGTATAGTTTTACCAACGCTCTTATATGGGTGTGAAGCATGGGTGATGAATGTTGCAGCGAGGAGAAGGCTGGAGGCAGTGGAGATGTTGTCTGAGAGCAATGTATGGTGTGAATATAATGCAGAGAATTCGTAGTTTGGAAGTTAGGAGGAGGTGCAGGATTGCCAAAACTGTTGTCCAGAGGTCTGAGGAAGGGTTGTTGAGGTGGTTTGGACATGTAGAGAGAATGAAGCAAAACAAAATGACTTCAAGAGTGTATCAGTCTGTTGTAGTGGAAGGAAGGCAGGGTAGGGGGTGGCCTAGGAAAGGTTGGAGGGAGGGGGTAAAGGAGGTTTTGTGTGCAAGGGGCTTGGACTTCCAGCGGGCATGCGTGAGCGTGTTTGATAGGAGTGAATGGAGACAAATGGTTTTTAATGCTTGACGTGCTGTTGGAGTGTGAGCAAAGTAACATTTATGAAGGGATTCAGGGAAACCGGCAGGCCGGACTTGAGTCCTGGAGATGGGAAGTACAGGTGCCTGCACTCTGAAGGAGGGGTGTTAATGTTGCAGTTTAAAAACTGTGGTGTAAAGCACCCTTCTGGCAAGACAGTGATGGAGTGAATGATGGTGAAAGTTTTTCTTTTTCGGGCTACCCTGCCTTGGTGGGAATCGGCCAGTGTGCTAATAAAAAAAAAATGTTTAAAAAAAATCTGATAAGGCGTACTAAGCAAAATCAATCAAATTAACAATACTTTTACCCCTCAATATTACCAGAGTGCACTATGTGAGTAAGGCACAAATGCGGTATCAGAACATTTATTAAGGAGCTGTTTCACCCACCATGGATTTTTATCCATACATGACAGAAAATTGAAATTAACGAAAGAGTATATAACGGGTCACAGGTCAGGGTTTGCATGTGAAGGTGGAACTAAGTATTGGCTGTGCCAGGGTTGGGCATGATGAGTCTAGTGAGAACACGTGAAATCATAAAACTGCTAGATTTTGTGATGGTGTTGGTAATGACATCAAAAGCAGATTCTAAACAGTATCTAGGGAGCTGATCAGTTTCTCTGATGATGTAATTTAGCATCTTTGAAGTAAATGAGATGGTTGTAAGAGTTTCAGAATACATGTATATAGTGCAGGCATTCATTCATCCATGCAAGTGTATGGAATAGGTAGTAAGTTACTAAATGCTGTAAAGAGTTTTTATGAGGATAGTGAGGCTCAGGTTAGGGTATGTAGGAGAGAGGGAGATTACTTCCCAGTAAAAGTAGGTCTTAGACAGGGATGTGTAATGCCACCATGGTTAATATATTTATAGATGGAGTTGTAAAAAATTAAATGCTGGAGTGTTGGGGTGGGGTGGGATAAAATTATGGGGAATCAAGTACAAAATAGGCGTTGACACAGTTACTTTTTGCTGATGATACTGTGCTTATGGGAGATTCTAAAGTAAAGCTGCAAAGGCTAGTGGACAAGTTTGGGAGGGTGTTTAAAGGTAGAAAGTTGAAAGTGAACATAGATATGAGTAAGAAGATAAGGGTATCAAACGATTTAGATAAAGAAAAATTGGATATCAAATTGGAGAGAGGGGGTATGGAAGAAGTGAATGTTTTCAGATATTTGGGAGTTGACTTGTCAGCGGATGGGTTTATGAAGGATGAGGTTAACCGTAGAATTGATGAAGGAAAAAGGGTGAGTGGTGCATTGAGGTATCTGTGGAAACAAAAAAAAAAAAAAAACATTGTCTATGGAGGCAAAGAAGGGAATGTATGAGGGTATAGTGATACCAACACTCTTATACGGGTGTGAAGCTTGGGTTGTAAATGTTGCAGCAAGGAGGTGACTGGAGGCAGTTTAGATATCCTGTCTAAGGGCATTGTGTGGTGTAAATATTTTGCAGAGAATTTGGAGTGTGGAAATTAGGAGGTGGTGAGGAATTACTAAAGGTATTAGTCAGAGGGCTGAAGAGGGGTTGTTGAGGTAGTTTGGTCATTTAGAGAGAATGGATTGAAGAGTGTATAAATCTGTAGGGAAAGGAAGTAGGGGTAGGGGTTGTCCTCGAAAAGGTTGGAGTGGGTAAAGGAGGTTTTGTGGGCGAGGGGCTTGGACTTCCAGCAAGTGTGTGTGAGCGTGTTAGATAGGAGTGAATGGAGACGAATGATTTTTGGGACCTGATGAGCTGTTGGTGTGTGAGCAGGGTATTATTTAGTGAAGGGATTTAGGGAAACCAGTTAGCTGGTCTTGAGTCCTGGAAATGGGAAGTGTACAATGCCTGCACTTTAAAGGAGGGGTTTGGGATATTGACTGTTTGGAGGGACTTCTAAACTGTCATATCTGAGTGCCTCTGCAAAGACAGTGATTATGTGTGAGTGAGCTGAAAGTGTTGAATGATGATGGAAGTATTTTCTTTTTAGGGATTTTCTTTCTTTTTGGGTCACCCTGCCTCTGTGGGAGATGGCTGACTTGTTGAAAAAAAAAAAAACTAAAATTCTCTGTACTGGACTGATCAAGTCCCTGACAGGTAGAACATCTTAATAACTGTCCTAATACCGCATTTGTACCTTATTCACAATGTTGGTGTTAATTACTATTTTCAATCTGTTTATCAGTGAAAGTGAGTAGACATTACCCACCTTAGAGGCATAGACGGTGTGAGTGCCATGGACAATGACATTAGTGCCTGAAGGGGAGAGGCCACAGTCCACCTGTACACATAATGGGGGCTGGGCATCCCACTTGCCATCACTGATACAGTTGAGGGTCCCAGATCCTTCCATGCGGTAACCTTCGATGCATGAGTACCGCACTGTTCCTCCAACCTGAGTATGGGAGGGAAACAAAAGGCCAAGTAGGATATTGAACAGGTTACTGTTGCTGGTGCTGGGATGTGTTGGCAAGGCTTGTTATAACTATGGAAATAATCCTAGGGTATATACTTGAGAATAGCCAGGTTTCTTGTATAAGATGACCTTTGACTTTTTTTTTTCTCCAAAAATCTTTACTTTCTCATATGGTATATCTCATGTACTGTACACATATACCCTAGTTTTTGAGGGGCACTAGAATATTGTTTGAGAATTAAAGTACTGCACTCACTGTTGATATTACTGAATGTCATTTTGCACAAAAAGAAAAAAAAATGGTCTCCAAATTTAATATTATATCTATATAAAATCTATATAAGAAAACACTAAAAGTGAAAACCAATCTTGAATTGAGCTTACTATGTGTTTGCCTGTTGTGCAGGTGAATTGTAATAAGAAATTCCAACTGCTTTTTTTGTCTTTATCAACTACAACCTGTCAGTATTCTTATACCATCTACTATTACAAAATACATTAATACAAAACAGACTTAAAAATGCACTATCTTGCAAATAATACCTTGAGACTGATAATATTGCGGATGCCATGAATGACCTCGTTGGGCATATCACACACGAGTTCAATACACACAGGTTGCTCCCCAGTCCAGTTACCATTACTCTGGCATATCCTGGTATAGACAGGCATATTAGTAGATGTCAGTAAAGGGTTACATGGCATCAAACTTATGGTAAAATGGAGATCAAGGAGACAACACTGACTGTTATGGCTTTGAAACTGAAAAATAAGCATGGAAGTGCTTGTGAGTGACAGAAATAAGGTAGAGTAGATTTGAGAGAGACTGACATGGTGATGGAAATTTGCATACAACAGACAATGTAAATAATAGTGGAAAAAGAAGGTTACCAAGAGAGTGATGACAGCACTTACCTGGTTGCAAGACCCTCAAGCCTGAATCCAGAGTCACATACATATGAGAGAATGGAACGGTACTTGATGCTTTCTCCATTGGTCTGACCATTTTCCAAGTGTGCTGGTCTGGGGCACTCTATAGCCCTGCAGAGAGGTTCTGTATCTGTCCACTTCTTGCTAGCCTGGCAGGTCCTGCTGGCTACACCAACAAGCTCGTGTCCTTCCTCACACTCATAACGAATGGTAGCCCCGAAGGTGTAGTCACCACCTATGATTGTGCCTCGACGAATGTTGATGGGGATGGGGCAGGCAATTGGGTGGCACTGAGGTACAGGACTGTTCCAACCATTTTCTGTACACTCAAGAAGACCATTAGATGCCATTGAATAGCCAGAATTACATCGAAATTCAATAACATCTCCAAATTTATGGATTAATTCCTCACCTCTCACACCTTCTACCAGTGACTGGAGTTTGGAGGAGATGTTTGTCTTGCTATGACCTTTAGCACTTCCATTACCATGGTCTGTTGATGTGAGTGCTTCAGTCTTGACAGGATACTCACCCAAAGCCTTCAACTTCCAGGTTCCATGAGGAATACCGAGGATTTTAGGACACGTTATCATCTCACAGATGGGTATCTGGTCAGACCAAGTGCCATCAGCCTGGCACACAAGCTCAGCATTTCCCTTCATGGTGTACCCTTCATTACATGAATACAATACAGTATGATTGTACTCAAACACATTGCCTATGCGCACAGAGTTGATGGATTCAAAAGGCTCAGGACACTTAACAGGCTGGCATATTGGGGAAACTCCAGTCCATAGTCCATTTATGTCACAAGTGCGATTGAAGTTACCCATCAGAATGTAACCTGCATTGCACTGATAAGCCACAGAGGCACCAAAAACACTATTTTCGCTTCTCATTATCATCTTTCCAAAGTTAACCTGTGGTGGCTCTGGGCAGGTAATTTGTAAACATGAAGTAGCATAGTTGCTCCAGGATCCATCAGCCTCACATTCAGCGGTGGGTGCACCAAGGCGCTTGTATCCTGTATCACAAGTAAATTTCACTTGACTACCATAAGTGTAGTCATTACCTGTGATGTAGCCATGAGGCAGTGTCCCAGGATCACCACAGTTCACTGGAAAACACTGTATAACACTGCCCTCCCACTTTCCTGCTGCACTGCAAGTAAGTAGAGTACTGTTTGCTGTGGTGTAGTAGCCTTCCTTACACTTATATTGGAGAACTGTGAAAGCATCAAACTCCAACTCAGTAGAGTTATAAGTAGCATGTAAGGGCTGAAGTGCTGGTGGGCATATGACAGCTTGACAGTGGGGCATTGCCTTATCCCACTTGCCTGTAGAACCACACATTAGTCTTCTTTCACCTTGTAAAGTAAACCCAGGATCGCACACAATGCTTGCGTAAGAGCCAAAAAAGAGCCCATTAAGACGCACCTTGCCATTGGAGGGTCCTCTGGGCTTTGTACAGTTGACAACTGCACAATATGGGGGTGAATCTGACCATGTCCCATCTGCCTGGCATACCTGTAAGCCAGGTCCCTGCATCACATAACCTTCATTACACTGATATGTGATTTTATCAGTGAATTTATAAGATGAACCAATATGTTTCCCATTTGGCAACCGTGCTGGAAGGCTACAGCTGACTCTCTCACATGTTGGTGTAGGAGAGCTCCATCTCTCATCATCCAAGCATGTTGCCTTCTGTCTCCCATTTAGCTGGTAACCAGGTGAGCATTCGAATTCCACTAGTGAACCACACGAGTTATCATCACCAATTACACGCCCATTGGGGATACTCTTTGGTAGGACATCGCAGTATGCCAGGCTACATGTTGGTTCTTCCAAGGTCCATGTACCATCTACCTGACACTGCCTAATCCGTGTACCATTGATCTTGAAGCACTCCTTACACTCGTATTCTATAGGAGAATTTACATACAAGTTACCCTCAAATGTTATATAGCCATTATCAATGACAGGAGGAACAGCACATGTCACTGCTAAACACCGAGGCATGGACCCATTCCAGCGGCCAATGGAATTACAGTAGCGATTAACACTACCTTCAAGCACAAAGCCCTCAAAACAGTTGTAAGTAACCACTGATCCAAATGTAGTCCCAGTTTCTTCAGTGGTACCATTGCCTATACTTGGAGGTACTCCACAGTCAACAATGTGACACACAGGAACATCACCCAACCATGTTCTGTCAGCATTACAAAGAAGCTCAAAATCTACACCAAGTTCGTAACCCTCATCACAGACGTACTCTGCACGACTGTCAATGCCTGACCCATGGTAAACAATATGGCCATGTGGCACAGGGGTCAACTCTGGGCAGTACTGTTCATAACAGTGAGGTTCTGCTTGATCCCATTCTCCCGATTCAGTGCACTGCTGTCGAGGAGCACCCACTAATTTGTAGCCAGGTCGACAGTCATACTCTAGTTCAGTGCCATACAGATAGTCTCTTTGCTCTACATTAAAACCTGAACCAAGGTTTCCAGGGGGTTGTACTTTTTGCGTAAAATCTCCATAGTCATCTGGCCCTTGCCCAGCACTCTGTTCATACTCAAAACCATCTGATGACTGGCCAAAATCTTCATAATCACTTGATCCTCGTAAAGTGTTTTGGCCAAAATCTTCGTAGTCACGTGATACCTGTAAAGTGTTTTGGCCAAAATCTTCGTAGTCACTTGATGCATGTCCAGTGTGTTGGCCAAAATATTCATAATCACTTGGCACATTGCCGGTGTTCTGTAACAATGTAGGAAAATCGTCATCTGGTGTGGAAAAACTCCGACTCTCACTACCCACAGCGGGGAACTGTGGATCATCCAGATGTCCAACAAGTGGAAATTCTACATCTAAGTCCTCAAAGTCAGGACTGCGCCTTCTTCTCAGCAGTTCAATTTCTCCAGTGACTTCTGGGAAACTTAGCAAAGGACTGGATGACAAGTCTGTGGCAACAGGTGGTTGACTAACTATGGATATAGCCCCATTTTGAGGTGTGTTGGGAACTGGGCATGTGATCGCTTGGCACACTGGAGTCTCTCCCTGCCATTCAGCATCATACCCATTACTAGCACAGGTACGAAAGGCATCGCCGACCAATTTATAACCCACTTCGCACTCATATGTCAGAATATCACCCACTCGCCAGACATCCTGTTGGGGTATAGAGCAATGTGAAGGCACCTCTGGGTCAGGACAAGGAAGGCCCTCACAAGTGGACCAGGGGCCATTCCACTCTCCTTCAGCACCACACTCCAGAGTCTTGGCTCCCACAAGGACATAACCAAAGTCACACTTATACACTGCCTCTTTGGATGTGGCTGAAGCCCGTACCTGTAATAATAATAATAATAATAATAAAAATATTGTAATTTTTATTTTTCAAAAAGTTATAATAGTGTTACAAATATAGGTTAACTGTTTGCACATTTGAATACTCTATATAATAAAAATTTAATGTATAATTCTAAAACATACTTAATACATGTATATTAAAAACTTTACATATTAATACGGTAATACAAATTTTCATATGGAAATCATTCCATATGTAAGCAAGAGATTCAGCAGATGGTACAACATCCCACTAATGAAAAGCAGGTGTGCCATGAGTACATTAAGAGATAACACAGTAAGTGTCAGGAAGCCAAGGCCGTTCAACTACCTCCCAGCATACATAAGGGGGATTACCAACAGAACCCCTAGCTGTCTTCAAGAGGGAGCTGGATAGACACCTAAAGTCAGTACCTGACCAGCTGGGCTGTGGTTCATATGCTGGATTGCATGTGGCTGTCAGTAACAGCCTGATCCACTATGAAGCCTGGTCATGGACAGGGCTGTGGAGATGTTGACCCCCAGAACACACTCAAGGTATACTCCAGGTATACACATTACTTGCAAAAGAGCATTTAATTTTATGCACCACCTGGCAAATGGAAGGTAACCAGAATATATTTAAAGAAGGGAGGATAATAACAAATTCCTTATATCAAGAGCCCTTCACTGGTCATGAAACTCTTGAAGGGAGTCACTAACAAAGGGATAGTGACTTGCCTTAACTGTGCCATGTTGAACTGCTGGTGGCTTTGAGCACTTGGGTGTGACACACTTGGGCAGTGGGCGGGACCACGTTGAGTCATCTTTGCAAGTGACCAGAGCGTCACCCTCCAACTTGTAGCCAAAATCACACTTGACCACCACTTGCTCCCCAGGCCTCACCGAAGGTCCACCCTCAACATACCCATTGACAATGCTGCAGGTGTGGAAGAAAAGCATATTAAGATTTATGATCATACATGTTTTAATTGGTGATTTAACCCTTTGACTGTTTTGGTCGTATATATACGTCTTACGAGCCACCGTTTTTGACGTATATATATACTCATAAATTCTAGCGGCTTCAAATCAAGCAGGAGAAAGCTGGTAGGCCCACATGTGAGAGAATGGGTCTGTGTGGTCAGTGTGCACCATATCAAAAAAATCCTGCAGCACGCAGTGCATAATGAGAAAAAAAAAACTCAATCGTTTTTTTTTTAATTGAAATGCAGACTTTGTGGTCAATTTTCGTATAGTATTTATGGTTGTATTCTCGTTTTCTTGGTCTCATTTAATAGAATGGAAAACATGGTGATTTTGATTGGTTTTACTATAAAAAGAACCTTGAAATGGAGCTCAAAGTAGGGGAAATGTTTGATTTTTGCTTATGTTCAAAAGTAAACAAATGATGTCATTGTCCAATAAATGTCCAAGTAGCCATTCTAATATGCAGTCATGAATGGATTGACATTATTTATACAATTATTACAATATTGCAGTAGTCTGCATAACAGTAAATCTTCTATTTTTTGTTTGAATAAAAATTCAAAATAGAAAGCAAGAGTAATATCAGAGGGGCCTGGAGACATGACTGATGAACAAAGAAAATGTTATTTTAGAGCCAGGAATGTCTGCATTGTTCATTCTGGACCCTATTTTGAAATTGTCATATTTTTTAATTTCCGTGAAATTGGCCAAACTGCAAATTTCTGACCACGTTATTGTGTAGTTGAAATTGGTAAATGGGCAGTTTCTTGTACTCAGTCGATAGAAAAAATGGAGTTCTAAAGAAATAGCTATGAGTTTGGTCGACTGGAACAATGGAATTAACCAAAAATAGGGCTCAGAGTGGGTGAAATCGCCGATTCGTAAATATCACTGAGAACGTAATTCCGTCAGTTTTCCATTAAATTTTGTTCTTTTAGCATCATTACAATCAGGAAAAGATTCTCTATCATTTCATAAGAAAAAATAATTTTTTTTTTTTAAATTTTGCGACACCAGGAGACACAGGATTTGGGATTGCGACAGTCAAGGGGCTAACATACACATATCTAATTAATATGGCTGCCTCTCAACTATCATTGGAGAAAAATGTCAAATTGCCATTTTTTATTTAACCCTTAAACGGTCCAAACAGATCGACGTTCAAATTCGTAGTGCTACAAAAGTAGATCTACTTTTTTTTACATATTTTCAAATATAACAAAAAAAAATATAGATAAAAGTTTTTTACGTTTTCAAATGTAAAACAAAAAAGAAGATCTATATTTTTTTACATACTTTCAGATGTTGAAAAAACGTATATATACATTTGGACCGTTTAAGGGTTAATGTCTTAGGCTGACAGATTTCATTATCTGATACACAAAACCCATTCTATGTAATGGAATATGACAAAAAAATATAGCTAGCTGGTTTCTACTGTGTATCACAAAGTAACATATACAGGGTACAAAACCACAAGTACATTAACTTTTCTGAGGCTTAATGCTGGGGATGAGACTGCATTAATTTGAACTGAATTTGAAATGAGTAGGGTTGCACCACTGCTCCTGTACCCAATATCGTTAAATAAAAAAGTATCACGATCTACTCAGCCTCTAGATTTACCTGACCTTCATAATTGTATCTTTGTTAGCATCTTTGATCCCTTGTTCACTGTTACCTTACCTAGGGAACTCTCCACAAGTTTCCGACTGACAAGAAGGGGGCTGTCCATCCCACTCACCATCACCACCACAAGTGAGGGTCTTGGGACCATCCATCTGATAGCCTGCCTCACACCTGAAGGAAATCTGGTTGGTAGGCATGTAGTCTCCTAGAAGTGACATCACCTTCCCATGAGGGCCAGCATTCAGGTGTGGGCACTTAATCACTAAAACGAAGACAAAATGTACCTTCAGAAGAGGAATAAACAGCTAGGACAAGTTTTTCTTGAATAAATTTATATAAGCATTACAAACTTCAATACACTACCCATAACAGAGGTTAGGTTAGGTAAGGTTTGTGAGGAAACAGGAATAGTGTTTCCTGATATGAGTCTTGGTCATATGATGACTTACAGCTAGAGCTGATGGTCATCTGACCAAGGCCTTCCACTGGATTACTGGTCCACCCCTTAAAAAATTATAGTTATGAATGACAGAGGTGTTGTCCAACTGCACTATAATGAGAAAAAAACTGTTGAGTAAGCTGGAAAAGGGGATTACCAATAGACCCCTGGCTGTCTTCAAGCAGGCACTGGACAAGCACCTAAAGTCAGTACCTGACCAGCCGGGTTGTGGCTCGTATGTTGGATTGCGTGTAGTCAGCAGTAACAACCTGGTTGATCAGGCCCTGAGCCACCATGAGGCCTGGTCACAGACTGGGTCACGGGGGCGTTGACCCCCGGAACCCTCTCTAGGTAAACTCCAGGTAAACACTAGAAATCCTGAGTATGATGATGATATGATCTTCACAAAATCACAATTTAATTCCTCTTAGGCTTAATGTTTGGGATAAGAATGCACTAATTATCAAGATACAAAGTTCTTACAATGAGCAGAATATGATAGTCAGATTTTCTGTCACAAATCAAAGACTAGTAAATACTTTTCAGTACAGAGAAATGCATAATACCGTCTGTCATTACTAGTTTGTAATTGCAACATCTGTTGATAGCTACAGGAGCAGAACTAAGCTTATGGTGTACAATCTTTAATATTTAATTTATAGTAAAAGTTTTTAAAAGCCTCTGGTGGCTACAATACTTATTACCTCCTCTTGTAAGTTTATTTAAGCACAAGTACACATAAGTACAATTATCATACATACCTAGGATAACCCCCAAAACAAGCCAGACAAAGCAACTTATTTCCACTGAAGCCCTTGTAAACCTATTCACTGATCTACCATACTATGAGGAAACACTTCCTAGTGTCCTTTTAGCAACTCTTCATTCTTCAGTTGTAGTTATTGAAATTATATTCATAAAAATTACTTTCAGATTCCATAATAAACTGTCAATTAACAACTTGATCAATACCATCAAGCAAATATAAATTGTGTAGTAGAGAGCTTCAATGTTAGACAACATAACTTGATATACACTGCTCACAAAAATCAAAACACTAACTATAAAAAAGCTAAACCGCCCCCTAGCTCACGAAAGGCTTATTCAGATAAATAAATAAGAAGCAAGATAATGAAAAGTATAGCCTAAGCCTTCTTCAAGGAGATCATTTATCCCCAGGATGACTCGAGTATGGAACACATTCGTACAGCATTATGATGTCAACGAGATAAAGTCAGTTGATCAAATGAAAATGCTGGCCCACAGATGGCTCCAACTTCATCCTGTTCCCTACTTGTATGTCTCATAACAATAAAAATGCTTTCAAATGAGCTGATGTAATTAACAGCTCTTAGCTTGTCAATAAAGTTAGGAATCCTTAACCCATAAATAGCTTGTCAATAAAGCCAAGGATCCTTAACCTAACCTTGTCGAATCCTGTGAAAAAAAAAAAAGCAGAAATGCTATGTATAATGATGGGCTTTTCCTTGTTAGCCTACTACACTGTTAGCCTACTATTGTAACTCTAAAGTATCTTCTTGAGACAAAGATATCTTTTTTTATCTCCCTTCAGCAGTACCTTCAAAAGGAACCCTGGCACTAACCATTACCATGGGATGGATCCCTTCACTCCTCTCTCCAGCAAAACCTTGAAGAGAAACTATGGCACTAACCACTACTGTGACATCCCTTCACTCTTCTCCCCAGCAATACCTTCAGGAGGAACTCTGGCACTAACTTCTACTATGAGATCCTTTCACTCCTCTCCTCTGCAATACCTTTAAGAGGAACTCTTGAGATCTCTTCACTCCTCTTCCCAGCAACACCTTCAAGAGGAACCCTGGCACTTACCATCACAGTGAGGGTGTTCACCGCTCCACTTGCCATCAACTTGGCAGGTCCTCTCAGTGTCGCCCTTCAAGAAGAAGCCAGGATTACAGGTGAAGCTGATGGTGTCACCATAGCTGTAGCTGTTACCTTCCATATGGCCATTCAATAGGTAACCTGGGAAGCTGCAGCTGATGCCTGTGCCACACAAAGCAAAATAAACTAAATTATCACATTTAAGGTGAAGTTCTAACTAAGCCTTTAAAGGTCATACAGTACCTGGGAAACAGAAGGTAATCAGGTTGGATCAAGAGCCTTTCAGCAGCATCAAGGCACCCTCCTTGATGGGAAACTATAGTTACTGCTAGAAGGCTACAATAGGTCCCAGAGACAAACCAAACTAAACAGACATAAATACATCTTTGACCTTGTGTGTGCATCAACCTACATATCCTTGTACTTACTGTTATTGTAGTTGTTACTTTATTGTAATTAGGTGGCTATTGTTGTTGTTATTATTATTGCTGTTGTGGTTAGTTGTTGTTATTATTATTGCTGTTGTGGTTAGTTGTTGTTCTTGTTATAATGAATTTACAAACATTATTTTGTAATTTTTTAATCACTCTATAATTAAATAAACTTGCATATGTAATGCTTTTTTGTGGAAGTTTTCTATTACCTATAGCCTTGCAATGCATTTTGTTTTCAACTGAAGGTAATGTACATCAAATATTGCTATAAGCAGTAAGATAACTTCAGTATTTGGCTGATTTTTGTATTAACAATGCTACATTTACTAGAACAAGATAATATAACTATACATACATAACTGGCACATAGGAGAGAGTAACTTATAATGACAATACAAACTAATGAGGGCACCACTTACGTCGACACTCTGGCTCCTTGCCAGACCAGGAGCCATAGACAAGGCAGGTACGCTCACTCTGGCCTTGGTACAGCTTGAAGCCAGTATCACAGGTAACAATGACATGAGCACCTGCACCTTCCCTGCTCTTCTGCAAACTGCCATTCTCAGGTACTCGTGGCACACCACAACCTCGGCAGAAGGTTGAACTCTTCACCTGTTGGAAGGCAATTTACAGTTGAAGGGAAATTTGTTAGGTAAAAGGAGACAACTGCAACTAATGAGACTTTTTTTGTGGCAACATTTCCCTCTCCAAGAGCTTTGTGAAGCCATTACAAACAATACGGGAAGGGAAATTTAATAGCTAAATACAATTATTCAGAGGCAATGTCAAGTCACAGAATTTATTTTTATTTTATTTTTATGTAATATTAGCATGAGTAATGCTTTTCTGTGAGGCAGTTCTTAATTTTATGAAATCCTCCATTTAATGTTTATAAGTTTCAAGACAAGATGCAGAAATAAAAAACAATGTTAAATGTACAAGGGAATTAATCATTGGGAGAACTCTATACTATTATAGTCACTGTTACATTATATAAATATGAATAAAAATTTAAATGTTCCTGAATCTATAAAGGAAGCAAGGGGCTAGAATCCCCTTCTCCTGTGGGAGACAGCCGGCATCTCGAAAAAAAAATCTATAAAATTTAAAGTAGTGGCTGCAACACAACTTACTGTAATCTGACCCTTTATACCAGGTTGGAAGTCTGGCCAACCCAGGGTGCTGCCCACATATCTATCACACTGGCTGAAGATAGCCTCCACATTAGAAGGATTCAGCTCCTCACTCCACACATTCACCAATGTCATCTCTCCTATGAAGCTCTCCTGTGGACTATAGCTGCCTCCACGTTGGTCTTGTTCCTGTCCCAACACCAGTGTTCCTGAACCTGTGCTCCATGACAAGAGTGACTAAGCATTTGATAACATACTTTTGCTTTCTATATTCTTATAATAAAATATCCAACAATGACATCTCTGACACTCTGAGGTTATGATCTTAACAATGACAGAGGCTAAATATCTTTAGAAAACTTAATTATATTTGCCTCAGAATTCAAATAATCTACCTTCATCTATGCAATTAGATAGTGTCAAGTAATTTTAAGTTCTAGTTTTATTCTGCCCAAAATGCTATGCTCAACTTGGTGGTTTTCAAAATATATGAAAGAGATGTCACCTAATTTTTTTTAACAATTATATAAATAGTGGGATACGGCTGGTATGTTGAAAGAAAGAAAGAATTATATAAATTTTGAAACTAAAATTTGTTTGTTTATTACTGAATAATTATGCCTAAATGCCTAGTAAGGATGTGTACAACTGATTATGGTAATTCGACATGTATTAGTATTGGCACACCATCAGTCTTACACTGGCACCTTCACTTTTCTCAGCATAACCACCACTAACTTTCACTCTAGATTTAGCATCTATTTACTTACCATTAATGGTAGCACCTTCAGCAAGGCCAATGCCATTATCCTTCCTCTCACCATCAAGGTAAACAGCCCAAGTTCCATTGTTGCTTGACCAAGTGGCACACACCAGGTGCCACTGTCCATCATTAGCTCGGATGTCCGTGATCCGTTTATCCCCATTCACATACAGCACAAACCTGCAGTGTAGGAAGCAATGTGTCAATCCTGTTACTGTACTTATTTAAGCATTACTGAGTATTCACCTTTTCTGTCATCCCTTTCCTCTTGCTAAAAAATATATGCAAGATGAGTTCAAGTTGCAAAAAAATAAAGAATGTTTCCAAATAATGTATTGCACTCCTTTAGTATCTGTCAGGGATGCAACCTATGAAAACTTTATGGATAGGAACTTCACAGATACCAAACTTATATTTACTGTACTGTAATACATATATGAACAGGAGACGAGTTTCAGACCCTCATTCCCAAACGTGAATTGAAAATTGAGAAAAATATAATGGTAGTTATAGGTTATAGTATGTATGTAATAACAGCACATCAGTCTGAGTCAACGTTTCATAAGGACTGTTAATGCTAAGTCTGTCCACTGTACTATAAGGCTTCTATAGGCTTGCATAAACTGTCATTAACTGGAGGCAGATTGATATGCGGGTTCGTTTTTAACATATAATGTCTTAAAATTAATTTACGGTGACCAAACTTATCATTAAACTTGGAGGCTGCCTGTACATTTGAATTTACAGAGATCACAAAAATTTTGTAAAACAAATAATTTACAACTTCCAACCTCTGAGCTACAGTACTGCCCTATACTTGAAATTACTGGTCAAAATTTCATATTATAGTTTCCCCTCTGCTATTTTTATTATGTTGCATAGTGTCTCAATTATACATTTTTTGTTCCACCAGTTAGCACCCACCATTAACACATATAATACTCGTACAAATCAATAGGCACCTATCAAATAGAAGACAATTATTACCATTGGTCCCAACAATACAATGTACTAAATACTAAACAATCAAAGATATTGCATTACAAGAATGCACAGAGAAATGGTTTGAGGACATACCCATTGTAGTCAGTGAGGGTGAGGGCATTATCATGATCATCCGTGGCATAACTGAAGGGCGTACCATAATTGTCTCGGTCATCCGAGCGCATCCACAAACACAACGATACCTGCAGGAAGATATGGATAGAGGTATAGTGACTCTAAACCATGGAAGAGCAACAAATGATCATGTTGCTCAAAATGCACTGCATGCAAGTGGATTTCTTTTGTGCCTAACATTTTATTACGTGTAAACTACATTATCTGTATACTACATGAAAGAAATAAAAGTATCTGAATTTAAATCTTAACATTAATTCTTTTACAAAATGTGCTGCAATCTTACAAAAATGTTGCGCTCTTACAAAATCTTCAACACTCTTACAAAACCCTTCACACTTACAAAATGCCTCACACTCTTACAAAATCTAATCTAAAATTTTTGCATGCCAATTTTTAATCAGTACTGAATTTATTTTAATAATCTATGTTTGTTTCTATTTTTTTACGAAGGAAACAACAATGGTGGAACAATGGAGTGATGAGGACAAGTTCTCTTAAGAAAATTTAGACAATGAAATACGTATCTAGTAAAATCACAATGGCTACTTATTACACAAGTTATTTAGGTAGACAACTGGGAGGTAGAGATCATAAATAAAGCTACACAAATACTAATAATCATAAATAAAGCTACATAAAATTTTTTTTATTATATTATTATCACACTGGCCGATTCCCACCAAGGCAGGGTGGCCCGAAAAAGAAAGACTTTCACCATCATTCACTCCATCACTGTCTTGCCAGAAGGGTGCTTTACACTACAGTTTTTAAACTACAACATTAACACCCCTCCTTCAGAGTGCAGGCACTGTACTTCCCATCTCCAGGACTCAAGTCCGGCCTGCCGGTTTCCCTGAATCCCTTCATAAATGTTACTTTGCTCACACTCCAACAGCATGTCAAGTATTAAAAACCATTTGTCTTCATTCACTCCTATCAAACACGCTCATGCATGCCTGCTGGAAGTCCAAGCCCCTCGCACACAAAACCTCCTTTACCCCCTCCCTCCAACCTTTCCTAGGCCGACCCCTACCCCGCCTTCCTTCCACTACAGACTGATACACTCTTGAAGTCACTCTGTTTCGCTCCATTCTCTCTACATGTCTGAACCACCTCAACAACCCTTCCTCAGCCCTCTGGACAACAGTTTTGGTAATCCCGCACCTCCTCCTAACTTCCAAACTACGAATTCTCTGCATTATATTCACACCACACATTGCCCTCAGACATGACATCTCCACTGCCTCCAGCCTTCTCCTCGCTGCAACATTCATCACCCACACTTCACACCCATATAAGAGCGTTGGTAAAACTATACTCTCATACATTCCCCTCTTTGCCTCCAAGGACAAAGTTCTTTGTCTCCACAGACTCCTAAGTGCACCACTCACTCTTTTTCCCTCATCAATTCTATGATTCACCTCATCTTTCATAGACCCATCCGCTGACACGTCCACTCCCAAATATCTGAATACGTTCACCTCCTCCATACTCTCTCCCTCCAATCTGATATTCAATCTTTCATCACCTAATCTTTTTGTTATCCTCATAACCTTACTCTTTCCTGTATTCACCTTTAATTTTCTTCTTTTGCACACCCTACCAAATTCATCCACCAATCTCTGCAACTTCTCTTCAGAATCTCCCAAGAGCACAGTGTCATCAGCAAAGAGCAGCTGTGACAACTCCCACTTTGTGTGTGATTCTTTATCTTTTAACTCCACGCCTCTTGCCAAGACCCTCGCATTTACTTCTCTTACAACCCCATCTATAAATATATTAAACAACCACGGTGACATCACACATCCTCGTCTAAGGCCTACTTTTACTGGGAAAAAAATTTCCCTCTTTCCTACATGCTCTAACTTGAGCCTCACTATCCTCGTAAAAACTCTTCACTGCTTTCAGTAACCTACCTCCTACACCATACACTTGCAACATCTGCCACATTGCCCCCCTATCCACCCTGTCATACGCCTTTTCCAAATCCATAAATGCCACAAAGACCTCTTTAGCCTTATCTAAATACTGTTCACTTATATGTTTCACTGTAAACATCTGGTCCACACACCCCCTACCTTTCCTAAAGCCTCCTTGTTCATCTGCTATCCTATTCTCCGTCTTACTCTTAATTCTTTCAATTATAACTCTACCATACACTTTACCAGGTACACTCAACAGACTTATCCCCCTATAATTTTTGCACTCTCTTTTATCCCCTTTGCCTTTATACAAAGGAACTATGCATGCTCTCTGCCAATCCCTAGGTACCTTACCCTCTTCCATACATTTATTAAATAATTGCACCAACCACTCCAAAACTATATCCCCACCTGCTTTTAAATTTCTATCTTTATATAATCGTAATAAAGCTATGCAAGTTATAATGCTTTCTGTGCCCTTGCCGGGAATATATATATTTATTTTAAATTAGTACAGTACACCCTATTCTGATTTTTAATAAAAAATATTTAAATAGGAGCTAGTCTACTATTTTCTTTCAACAAACAGCGTATCCCACGGAAGCAGGGTGCCCAAAAAGAAAACAAAGTTTCTCTTTTTAACTTTAGTAAGTATCAGGAGAGGGTTTAAATAGCCCTTGCTCGGGGACTTTCTAGTCCCTCTCATCATACGCATGGCTTACGAGGAAGAATTCTGTTCCACTTCCCCAGGAGATAAGAAAAAATAAACAAGAACAAGTACTAGTAAAGAAAAAAGAAACCCTCATGAGGGTGTGTATATAATACTTGCTCCCACTGAGTGTTTACTCCACAACATCACCCATCACCATCGCCTACTTTTCACCGAAGCCAACCCATAGGACAAGGGGGTCAGAGAAATAAAAGAAGATCCGTAACCACAAAGGGAAACTCTAACACAAAGGTGAGGCAGTAAAAAACCCGGGGAAACTTGTGGTACGGCAGCCAGGACAAAACCCCTATACCCACGGCACCACCACAACACAGGGGACAGACAACAACAAACATGGCGCCGCCACAGTCCAAGAAAAACTCCTTCCTTGGATTGATGTCAAGAAGACTGACCAGAAATAGCTAAACCCTTACGATTAAAGAACCAAACGATCCCCAAACTAACCCCAAAAACCAGGAACTAAAAGTAGCAAGCGTTTACCTCAACAAGATCATGTCTTGAACATAAGCTAGACACTCAGAACAACAAGCAACACCCACACCCAGTCCCTAGAAACCTCAAACACTCTAAAGGACCAAGCCCACCCTATTACTACCAACTTTATAGAGGAAAGATCAAGATGGACCACAACTTGCCAATGTCATAACCAATTCAAGACCAAAATGACCAACAGCAGCTATTGACGCTGTTTAGTTAACAGCAAAACACCCCAGTCACAGCACCCAAGAGACCTGCATGGAGACCACCCTACAGTTATCAGGACCCCCTTCCCCTTAAACAACGTATGAGACCTAAAGGATGCAAACAGGGTTTACCAAGCGGGTTAAAAAAAAAGGGGCTGAAAAATTTCCCAAAACTAGCCTACAAAAAAAAAACCCTACTAAACATATTTCTATGAATCTGATGTTTACGTCAATGATGCCTTACCAAAACAATACAAAACTTCTTTAAACCGGCTAAAAAATCCCTATGCCCAAAAAATCCCCATGCTTTGTGGGGATGGAAAAATCGCGTTGGAAACAGCCCACTGGGGAGATACTTCATCTCTACAGAACATGACCTTAAAACTTTCCTAATGTAGGCTGGACTAACAGAATCAGAGTAAAGTGCAGATAATACCCACAGTCACAGTTAGTGTTATATTGTCAAAAAATTTGTGCCCCCCCTAAAATTCTAATACCCCAACTACTTTTGATTTCATTCTTGTATTCAAAGACCATTCTACCACATAGTCTTAATTTGTTTAATATCTACAGAATCTATCTCCTTTTTTACAACTTACCACATCACTGTTCTATCTTATTTTATTATAACTAACCATAACTTGTCCTCCAATAATTCTACCTCACTTTTAAAAAATACTCAATTGCCCAATTTTATTCCAAAATCTCTATTATTGCCCAATTTTGCTTTAACTATATTGACCAAAATTATTGTAACTTCTTTTATTGACCATTTTTATTTCCATACTTTTTTAAACTAGTATTTTCAACTACAACTTTTAATTATCCTGTCTACCATCTTACTAGCATATTATAACCAAGTCATTGCCATTTTTATTTTTATCATTTTTTTTTTATTATTCTTTTGCTACCTTAACTTGTGTATTTTATCCTGTTCAATTTTAAATCTAGTTATACTCTAATTTCTTGTAAACAATTTATATAAGACCTTAGTGCAATTACAATTGAGAGTTTTGTGCCTTTTTTATTAAATTTGATTAAACTCAGTTTGTACTATAGCTCATTCTAGCTCAATACATATCAATACCAAATTCACTATATTAGACCATAGTGCAATTACTAGTGAGAGACTGGTGCTATTTTTAATTTGTAATTTTATATTATTACATTAAACCTAGTTGTAACTATAGTCATTCTAGCTCAAAACACAGACTCCACAAAAGCATTATATTAGACCTTAGTGCAATTCAAGTGAGAGTCTTGTTCTATTTTAATTTGTATTTTTTAAAATTACTGTTTTTATACCTAATTGTCTTTAGTTCAAATTCAGCACAACAAATAGACAACATCAACTTCCCTTATGGTAGCAGTGACTAAAACTCTATATGACCAAAATACTCTAGCTATATACTTGTCCAAACTTCCCACCACTACAGATATCAGTACTAGAACTCAACACACAACTCAGGATATAAATAACCATAATTTAAACCTAGAAGATGTTGATCACGTTGACCCTGATCTAAACCTCCATAATCTGACACCCAATCAAAATCTATTGGAAAGTAACTGCCTTTATTACAGAGCATCACAAGCCAGCACTACCCTAAACAATGCTAAAAATCTATCAGTACTTAACTACAACATCAGGTCCTTAAGCAAACACTATGATGACCTCCTGGCACTCCTTGAATCACTAAAGACACCCTTCTCCTGCATTATTCTTACTGAGACCTGGCTTAAGCAGGACACAATAGATATCTACCCTCTACCAGGATACACAGCAATTCACAACTGCAGACCAAACCAAGTTGGGGGTGGTATTGCAATCTATTACTCTAACCAATTATCTTGTATTAGCACCACTTGCTTTAGTGATGAATATGGGGAATACATTTTTGCTAATTTTACTGTAAAAAACCTTAAGACACCTATAACAATCGGTGCCATTTACCGGATACCTCACACTAACATCCCAGATTTCAGTGAGAAATTAAGTCACTAATAACAAACAGACAAATGAAATAAGCACCACCTTCTCTTGGCTGGAGACTTCAACATCAACCTTGGCATACTAGATGATCAGCCTGTAACTGATTCATCAACAATATGAACAACACACTTCTCATACCAACAATAACTAAACAACCAGGCTCACTGAGACAAGTGCAACCATAATAGACCACATGGACCAATATACTAGCCCCCCTTAAATCAGGGATAATCACAGATAGCACTACAGACCACTACCCTACCTTCCTCCTGACAAACATTAGTAAACCACCACTTGAATACAACAAAGTCTCATTTAGACTCCATGATGAGGCCTCAATAAGGAAGTTCACAGCTGACCTACAGACTGTTGACTGACCTACAGAATTCTCCAAGGCCAATGGTATTGATGACTGGACAGACATTTTTCTTAACAAATTACTTAGACTATACAACAAACTTTGTCCTATAAAAACGAAACAGATCACAAACAAACGGCTTGGTTGCCCATGGCTAACCAGCACCATTCTGAAATCCATTGACAAGAAACACCAATATGAAAAGCAATATAGACAGGGCTTAATACACAAAGATATTCTTAAACACTATTCATCAGTTCTCACCAAAGTAATAAAAAAAGCCAAACAACTATACTACTCCAGTAGATTCACAGACACTAGAGGAGATATAAAAAAGACCTGGAAAACACTCTCTCAGATTCTAGGGACCCATAAACTGAAAAAAACAAGACTATTGTCCTAACTAAACCTAATGAAACACCACTACATCCCACTGACACAGCTAACAAGATAAACGACTTCTTCTCAACCACAGGATCTAATCTCGCCAATAAAATCCCACATACCAATGCCCATGCCGGGGACTACCTAGATGGGAATTTCCCAAATTCCTTCTATCTTGCACCAACTGAGCCCACGGAAGTCACCGAGATTATAAAGTCACTTAAAAATAACTCAGGGAATCTGTCTCATGTCCCACCATTACTGTACAAGCAAGCGGCCCATGTCCTTTTGCATGCTATTTCATTACTTTTTAACAAGTCACCAGAAACTAGCACCTTCCCAAAACTACTCAAGATGGCAAGGGTTACACCAATACATACAAGTGGTGACCCTACAGACTTAAACAACTATAGGCCAATATCAAACTTACCATTGCTATCCAAAATCTTTGAGAAACTCGTGCACAGGAGACTATATTCATTTATAACGACACAAAACATACTCAACCTCTGCCAATTTGGATTCAGGAAAAATAAAAGCACTAATGATGCAATCATAAAAATGCTAGATCTGCTTTACACAGCATTGGAAAATAAGGAATATCCACTAGGAATTTTTATTGACCTAAGAAAAGCTTTTGACACAGTAGACCACGACATCCTATTCCACAAACTTGACCATTACGGTATAAGAGGCCATGTGCTTGCTTATTTCAAATCTTACCTTACTAATAGGTATCAGTATCTCACCATTAAAGACACAGCATCAACAACATGGCCACTTGATACTGGAGTTTCGCAGGGAAGTGTCCTTGGTCCCCTGCTCTTCCTCATATACATCAATGATCTTCCAAACGTATCCCAACACCTGAAACCCATTCTCTTTGCTGACGACACGACTTATGTCATCTCTCACCCTAATCTTGCCACCCTCAACACCATTGTTAATGAGGAGCTGATCAAAATATCGACTTGGATGACAGCCAATAAACTTACGCTTAACACTGACAAAACCTACTATATTATGTTTGGTAGCAGAGCAGGAGATGCACAAATTAACATTAAGATCGACAACACTCTAATTACCAGACATAATGAGGGCAAATTCCTAGGCCTATACCTTGACAACAACCTGAATTTCAGCACCCATATCCAACACATAACCAAAAAAGTATCCAAAACGGTTGGGATCCTCTCCAAGATACGATACTACGTGCCGCAAAATGCCCTTCTCACACTATACCACTCACTTATTTATCCATACCTCACCTATGCTATTTGTGCTTGGGGATCAACTACAGCAACACACCTAAAGCCAATAATAACCCAACAAAAAGCTGCAGTAAGAATAATCACTAAATCCCACCCCTGGCAACACACCCCCCCACTCTTCATAGATCTAAATTTACTCCCTGTTCAGTACATCCACACTTACTACTGTGCAATCTACATCTACAGGACCTTAAACTCCAATATCAACCTTGACCTAAAATGCTTTCTTGATAGTTGTGACAAGAACCCACAGGCATAACACCAGACACAAACATCTCTACGACATTCCCCGTGTCCGACTAAACCTTTACAAAAATTCAATGTATGTCAAAGGCCCTAATATCTGGAACACCCTACCTGAGAACTCTAGAACTGCAGACACATTCATCACCTTCAAAACTACCATTAGAAAACATCTTATCTCCCTGATACACCCCGTCAACTAACTACATGAATACCACCTGGTGGTTCACACTTACACTCACTCACCCATTTGACCATAAACAGAAATATTAATCTCAATCTTAAAATAATGAATCCTGTGATACTCCAATACTGAAACTATGTACTGTGCCAAAACAAAAGCATTCACATTGCTAAACTCACAAACTAGTATTTAGTCACTTAGCCATAATACCAACTTACCTCATAATTTGTAATATTTTAAAATTAAGATTTAAACTAAGTCTGCCCGAAATGCCTAGCCATGCTAGGTGTTCTAGTGGTACACTCTGTAATCATTATTTTACTACATGTAAACCACACAATAACCAAATTCTGTAAACTCAGCATTGTAATCCTTATAGAGAATAAACTTTGAATTTGAATTTGAATTGAATTTGTAAATGCATGTATAGTGTGACCTAAGTGTTAGTAGACATACCTGAAATCTTGCATGTTTGAGACAGAAAAGAGACACCAGCAGTCCCACCATCATGTAAAGCAATTACAGGCTTCCATTTTACACTTACAGTACTTGGCAGGATGGTAGTACCTCCCTAGGCAGTTGCTGTCAACCAACCTACTACCTAGTAAGTAGGAGACTATATAAATTAAATAGTGAAGATATTGTACAGCCACACAAATATGAGGCAAGAGAAAAGAGTTACATTTCAAGGATGCTATGTTGAAACTCACACTCTCAAGTGGCTTTGAGAAGCCCTCCACCAACACATAGTCAAGGATGCCAGAAGATGGAAACTCCAGCACAAAGTCAGTTGGCATCTCTGAGGAAGAAAATAATGTGTGACATAACTATGCATGAGTTAGCTTTTTTTAAGAGAAAAAGCATGCATTTCCATAGATCATTAGTGATTTAACTGCCAGGTTTCTTTTTGACTTTGAATATTTATTGCAAGATAATCATACAAAAATTAAAACCTACAAGGTACGATTACTTAAATAAGGTTTAAGGGGAGAACAGAAGTTGCAAATTGAATCAATAAAATGTCATCATGGCTAGAGTATAAGTACAAATGAAACTACTGAGATGGACACAGTTTACCTAAATATTACATAGCTGAAGTCCTTGCACATTCATCATGAACAATGATTCTTTTCAGACACTAGAGTCAATTATCATCAGTGCAAGACACAGCATTCAGGCATAAATTATGATACTTAATACGTATTTGCAATATTTTAACCATTACAGAAAAAAATTTATCAAGCAAATTTGAGATCATCACCAGTGTCGCAGAGTTTGCCAGAGTAACCCGGGCTACAAGTGCAAGAGAAGCCATTGATCCAGTCAGTGCAGGAGGCACCATTGGTGCAGGGCTGTGATGCACACTCATCCACATCCACATTGCATGTATTGCCTGTGTATCCTGGCTCACACACACACCTGGCAGGCATACAGCAAGGTCAACTCTGATGGTACAGGTAGTTATGGTGAAACAACTCGGTAAATATTTATCCACTGATGTGCAATAATTGCAAACAAGTGATAAAAGATGCAAAGTAACCACGGGGGGAGGGGGGGTGAATGAGAGCTATCACTCAACTCCTGTGGTTATTTTGCATCCACTGAATCGATTTTTTTTTTTTGTATCCCCCTAGACATTTTGGGCATTAGTGAGCTATCCTAGGTCAGCTCATATAGTGAGAAGGAACTCGAACCGATGTAAAAAGGAAAAAAGCTACATAAAACCCACTTAACATACACCTAAGAAAAGACACTGACAACATGCTTAGAAAGCCAATATATTTCTTATTTAATCTGGAAATGCAAGTTTGCCGTGATATATAGAGTTTTCAATGTTCTAAGAGTGCAAAAAATATAAAAAAACAACAGAAATGTTAACATTCAAGAAGCGTATAAATTTTTAATTATGGAAAATTGCAACCAAGATCAAACTTGATGGAGAGTAAAAAAAAACAGACATATGGAGTAAAAACTTTATGGATACCATAATTAAAAGCTTCCCAAGTTTTTTTTTTTTTTCAACAAGTCGACTGTCTCCCATCGAGGCAGGGTGACCCAAAAAGAAAGAAAATCCCCAAAAAGAAAATACTTTCATCATCATTCAACACTTTTACCTCACTCACACATAATCACTGTTTTTGCAGAGGTGCTCAGAACACAACAGTTTAGAAGCATATACGTATAAAGATACACAACATATCCCTCCAAACTGCTAATATCCCAAAACCCCTCCTTTAGAGTGCAGGCATTGTACTTCCCATTTCCAGGACTCAAGTCCAGCTATATAAAAATAACTGGTTTCCCTGAATCCCTTCACTAAATGTTACCCTGCTCACACTCCAACAGATCGTCAGGTCCCAAATACCATTCGTCTCCATTCACTCCTATCGAACACGCTCATGCACGCCTGCTGGAAGTCCAAGCCCCTCGTCCACAAAACCTCCCTTACCCCTTCCTTCCAACCTTTTCGAGGACGACCCCTACCCCCAAGTTGGCATGTGAAAAAAAAAACTCAGAATAAGAGAGAGAAACCACCCATGGAACATGAGGTTCTTATAAAAGCAGGGGAAATGGCTATTAAGTGGGGGCATTTAATTTTTTTGGTTATTTGAAATTACATCCTGTAAACATTTCTTAAGCATACATGACACCACAAACATAGCTCTGATCTTGTAGTATGACTCATGAAATCGTAATAACATGATTTCAAACAAACCAAGCAAAAAGTGATGTTTGAACCCACTTGCCATGGCTTCAAACCCCATCCATTCTGTGGTTTACATATCTAGTAGTTACTAGTGTAGATCATTTCCTGCTCTTCCTCCACTCACCTAAACTCATTGACATGGTCAATGCAGAGGCCATGCTCACAAGGAGAGGATTCACATTCGTTGATATGGGTCTCACAGAAGCGTCCTGTGTCTCCAGGAGGACAGAGACAGGCAAAGTCATTGAGGAGGTCCTGGCAAGTGGCCCCCGCAGTACAAGGGTTGCCTTCACACTCATCGATGTCCACATCACACACCTCACCTTGAAAAATAGGTCTTGTTCTCATGCATTTACCAAAATATAACTTTAAGTACATATTTTAAAATTTCACAACATCGTTCTCTATGCAAGCCAAACACCTTTTTCATGAGTATCTACATCTACTGTAAATTTTTACCCTAACTTCATTTTAAGTACATTATAACATTTTTCATCATTTCTCTTCTCACATTATAATTTGGCAAAAAACACGCATAAAAATTTAATATCTGTAGCTGTTTTTGTACACTAACCTGTGTACCCTGACTGGCAGATACACATGAAGGTGCTAACAAGGTTCACACAAGTTGCGCCATTCGTGCAGGGGTTAGAGTCACACTCGTTGATGTCGATCTCACAGTGTAAGCCTGTGTACCCTGGCAGACACTCACACCGGAAATTGTTAAGCAGGTCGATGCAGGTTGCATTGTTGAAGCAGGGCTCACTCTCACACTCGTTCACCTCAGACTCGCACTGTTGACCTGTGCAACAAACAATCAAATAAGTTGTGGCCATAATGGGAAGATACATTTAGTATATTAATATTAAATCTGCAAGTGATTATATACATATGGAAGAGACAAATGCAAGCAATTTCAAATAATGTAAATTGTATCTACCAAAATAATTTTATATGAGCAAGTCTTTTATAAATTGCATGACACTTGAGAAGCCACTCACCAGAATAGCCAGGGGGGCACTGGCAGACATAACCGAAGTCCATAGGTGTGCAGGTGCCAAGGTTCTGGCAAGGGATGCTGAAACAATCGTTAATGGAGAGCTTCTGCAAATTGGTGAACGCAGCCTGTAAGAAACACCGTGGGGTTACTGGTAAAGCATGCAGGCATACTGAAATACCTGAATGGTACACAGAAAATCGAGATGTTAATGTGTATAGCTAAACCGATAAAATGAGAGTGAAATTTAACTTAATGGTATTGGTGTATTAATAGTGCCCAGTACATTTCCATGCATACTTTTATTTTGAATATTCTTAATTGTTGCCAAATATCATAAATAATTATTTAAAAGTGAGGGAGGTATGTTGAATTGCTGCTGTAAGATGACACCACTGGTATCTGATGAGCTTTTTTTTGAATAATGAATTACGTGAAACCTCTCAACAATGCCTCAACATACAGTGCCTCACGGAAATGAGGACCATGTATATGGACAATCATTTTTCAACATTCACTCATCTCTATCAAGAATGAGCTTGCATTATATCTCCAAGTTGCCCACGATGGCTAATTGATACTCAGTGAAATTCGGTGATTAAACTGCTCTTCCTGGCAATGGTCTCTACAGATGCCAACATTTTTCTACCTAGCTAAGACATTCACACTGCAGTATCAATATAAACATTTTTTCCACCAAATCAAAGCATGTAAGCAGGGTGTGGAGTTGGGAACAATGTGAGGTTGAAATGCTACATGTAATATAAGCTTTATAAAGAATACTGCTATATATGTACTGGGGAAGCAGATAAGAATTCTTCTTCCATAAGCCATGCATGTTATAAGAGGCAATTAAAATGCTGGGAGCAAGGGGCTAGTAACCCCCTTCTCTTGTATAAATTACTAAATTTAAAAAGAAATTTTTGTTTTTCTTCTTAGGTCACCCTGCCTCTGTGGGACACGACCAGTTCATTGAAAAAAAATAAATGGTAAGTGAGGTATGGTGATATTACAGCTGGGGGTGTAGACATACCTGCCCATCCTCCAACACTCCATCGCAGTCATATAGGGATGCAGTGCCAGTTGTAGGAGTACTCACTCCATCTGGGCACCTGTGGGAAGGTAGTAGATAGGCAAGTATTAGATACATAACTTTCATACTTTCACAATAATCACTCCATTTCCTTTTCCTCCTCTCTCTTTCGCTTATTCTCCTCTTGACCATTTACTTTCGCTTGTTCTCCCTCACTCATTCTCTTGTTCTTTTATTCTATTATTCATTCTTTCTCTCACTTCAGTTCTCTCTATTGCTCATTCAGTCACTTTCTCACTTGTTCATTTTCTCATTCTCTCTCACTTGTTGAAACCTGAAGGGCAGTCACCTTCACATGACAAGTTCTGGGTATTTTGGATGATCATGCCAAAAATGCAGTGTATACTAAGGGCTTCTTACAAAATTTGATTCACTTGTACACATTTTTATGGAAATAAATATTCCTTCATCCGAAATTCTCAAATTCAAAAAGTTCCAAAAACCAAAGTTTTTTTTAAGGAGTGTGGAGCGTCAGTCACTAACAGCCAGAGTGGCAGGCATCAGTCATGTCTCAGCGCTTGTAGTGCTGAGACACAACTGTTCACTGATATTTTGTTTTTGCTTTTTATTTTGTGACTGTTTAATTTCACTGTGAAAATGTCAAAAATAGCTGCAGATACCCCTATGGGTAACAGTGAGAAAAAGAAAAGGAAGTATCTGACATTATCAGTAATGCAGAAAGTAGGGTTACTGCAGAAGCTTGATCGTGGTGTGTCAGTGCAGCATCTTACTAAAGAATATGGTGTTGGAACTACCACTGTTTATGATTTAAAGAAATGGTGTTAAATACAAATAAACATGAGAATAGTAGTGATGATGATGATGATGACATTGTGAACACAGGTGAAAAAGTCCCCATAGACGATATGGTAAAAATGTGTGATCAGTTAAGTCTTTAAAAAAATGCCGTCTGTCATAGTGCTGCTTCATCACTTGAGAATCATGTTCCTGGTCTTTAATTATCCCATTATTTCATTTATCAATATATTACTCTATAAATAAACCATGGTAGTATTTGTAGTCTTTATCCCACTTAGTGTGAGTATTCATACGTTTTTGCTGCAGTGTTAATGTCTGATTATGGGGTACTGCCCTAGACCCCACCTTCATTCTGAAATTTGAAAAATTCTGAAATTCGAAACACTACTGGCCCCAAGGGTTTCAGATAAAGGAACGTGTACCTGTATTATTATTATTATTATTATTATTATTATTATTATCATTAGCGTATCTCTGCTTCCTTGTATTACAGTTATACTGTAATGGTGGGGGCATGATATTCTTGGTGTCTGGAAGCTGTTGTTGCAGTGGAAGGCCATAGGTTTTGGTCAAAAAAGTGTAAGTCTTATAGAACTGGGTTTGTTGCTTGTTTTTAATGTTATGGTGAGTAATAAAATTATGATAGAGTTGTTGCTTTTGTTAATGTTTTGCTGATGGTATGAGGAGATTCTTGCAGTGGTAGTAAATTATTAATTTTTAAACTATGATGAAAATTACTAATGCTGATGTGGAGGTTACTGGGCTAGTGATTATAATAATTATAATAACAATAATTATAGGTAGTAGGTTGGTAGACAGCAACCACCCAGGGAGGTACTACAGTCCTGCCAAGTGAGTGTAAAACGAAAGCCTGTAATTGTTTTACATGATGGTAGGAATGCTGGTGTTCATTTTTCTGTCTCAAACATGCAAGGTTTCAGGTACATCTTGCTACTTCTATTTACACTTAGGTCACACAACACATACATGTACAAGCATATATATATACACACCCCTCTGGGTTTTCTTCTATTTTCTTACAAGTTCTTGCTCTTGTTTATTTCCTCTTACCTCCATGGGGAAGTGGAACAGAATTCTTCCTCCGTAAGCCATGCGTGTTGTAAGAGGCGACTAAAATGCCAGGAGCAAGGGGCTAGTAACCCCTTCTCCTGTATATACAGTATTACTAAATGTAAAAGGAAAAACTTTTGTTTTACCTTTTGGGCCACCCCGCCTTGGTGGGATACGGCCAGTGTGTTGAAAGAAAGAAGAATCATAATAATAATAATAATTCATTGTTATACCTGAAGCATTCAGTCTGGCCAGGATGATCTTGAAAGAAACCCACAGGACAATCAAAGCAAGGTTCCAGCCCTGTCTCTGACACCTTTCCCGCAATACACGATGCTACATAATGGAAAGTAACAAAGAAATGAGAAACATAATAGGTTAAATAATAAAAAAAGAGATAAAGATCAATTTATACACAGTATATATATTTTTGCAGTTTTTTCCTATGAGGATGAAATGTACAATTCTAATGAGAATATTGAAAAATTTCTATCCACTCTGACAACATCACAAATTATTTTTAAACATCACAAATTATTTCTAGCCTGTCTGTCTATATTTTCAGACCACACACACACACACACACACACACACACACACACACACACACACACACACACACACACACACACACACACACACACACACACACACACACAAAGAGCAGCCTGGCTGATTTGTCTCATTTATAAGGGCTTTAGCATATTATTATGATGAATGCTGATAGACCATTCTGATTAAGTACTGTACTGCAACGTATACCGTTTTGACGAGGTATACCATCAGGAGGGCTGCCACGGTGCCACTTACGTTTGCACTCATCAATCAGCCAACTACCACGTCGCCAGGTGGTAGTGTCATGAGGGCAGGCAACACAGATCTTGGAGGCATACTCATCCTGGTAGTGCCCTATCTCACATGTAGTACATGGCTCCAGACCATCCTCAGAGAAAGACCCTGGTAGACACTGGGCTGGGGTGAGATGAGGAGAGTTCAGAGCTCATTAGTGATAGTCAGGTGTAATTATTATTATAAATTATTCTTTCTTCTTTCTTTCAACGCACCGGCCGTATCCCACCGAAGCAGGGTGGCCCAAAAAAGAAAAACGAAAGTTTCTCTTTATAAATTTAGTAATTTATACATAAGGGGTTACTAGCCCCTTGCTCTTGGCATTTAGTCACCTCTTACGATACGCATGGCTTACAGAGGAAGAATTCTGTTCCACTTTCCCATGGAGATAAGAGGAAATAAACAAGAACAAGAACTAGAAAGAAAATAGAAGAAAACCCCGAGAGGTGTGTATATATATGCTTGTACAAGTATGTGTAATGTGACCTAAGTGTAAGTAGAGGTTGCAAGACGTACCTGAAATCTTGCATGTTTCTTCTTTCTTTCTTTCAACACACCGGCCGTATCCCACCAAGGCAGGGTGGCCCAAAAGGAAAAACAAAAGTTTCTCCTTTTACATTTAGTAATATATACAGGAGAAGAGGTTACTAGTCCCTTGCTCCAGGCATTTTAGTCGCCTCTTACAACACGCATGGCTTACGGAGGAAGAATTCTATTCCACTTCCCCATGGAGATAAGAGGAAATAAACAAGAATAAGAACTAGAAAGAAAATAGAAGAAAACCCAGAGGGGTGTGAATATATGTAGTATATGCTTGTACATGTATGTGTAGTGTGACCTAAGTGTAAGTAGAAGTAGCAAGACGTACCTGAAACCTTGCATATTTATGAGACAGAAAAATGGACACCAGCAATCCTACCATCATGTAAAACAATTACAGTGGAACCTCGGCTTGCGAGTGCCCCACCATACGAGTTTTTCAGGATATGAGCAGTAGCTCAGTCAATTTTTTTTTGTTTCTGGATACGAGCAAAAATTCAGGATGTGAGCTTCCCCCTCAAGGAAGGTTCCTTGACAGTGGTGAGGGGCTTTTGATCTAGGGAACTGTCTGTGCTCCAGTTCCCTAAATTAAGCCTGAATACCTTCCATCCCCTCCCCCCACAGGTGTTGTATAATCCTATGGGTTTAGCACTTCCCCATTATAGTAATACTAATAATATAATAAAATAATGATATAATAATATAATAATAACAATATAATAATAATACGTATAATAATACTATAATAATAATAATTATAATAATACAGTGGACCCCCGGTATTTGATATTAATCCGTTCCTGAGAGCTCATCGAATACCGATAATATCGAAAACCAAATCAATTTTCCTCATAAGAAATAATGAAAATCAAATTAATCCGTGCAAGACACCCAAAAGTATGAAAAAAAAAAATTTTACTACATGAAATATTAAGTTTAATGCAATAGAATAATTACAATAACAATAAAATAATTGACACTTACCTTTAATGAAGATCTGGTGATGATTGATGGGATGGAAGGAGGGGAGAGGTGTTAGTGTTTAGAAGGGGAATCCCCTTCCATTAGGACTTGAGGTAGCAAGTCCTTTTCCAGGGTTACTTCCCTTCTTCTTTTAATGCCACTAGGACCAGCTTGAGAGTTACTGGACCTCTGTCGCACAACAAATCTGTCCATAGAGCTCTGTACCTCCCGTTCCTTTACGATTTGTCTAAAATGGGCCACAACATTGTCATTGTTAGGGTGATTTTCATCCATAAAGGTTTGCACTTCAACCCACTGTGCACACATTTCCTTAATTTTTGAAGTAGGCACAATGTATGGTATAGGCTTCTCAGGGTTAGCCCCAAACCCTTCAAAATCTTTTTTAATTTCCATACTAATTCTCACCCTTTTTACCACAGGGTTAGCACTAGAAGCTTTCTTGGGGCCCATGGTGACTTATTTTGCAGAAACAAGCACCAAACACAGTGATAATATGGATAATATGGAATGTACTGAATGTATCCTTAGATGCGCGCACACTGGCTGGCTTGTAAACATTGGCACACAAGGGGCAGTTCAGGCCACATGTGGACAGGTCTCGTACGAATCGTATCGAATACTGGGTTTTCAATCGAATACCGAGGAAATTTTTTTGCGATATAATGCATCGAATACCGGATTTATCGAATACTGATGCCATCGAATACCGGGGGTCCATTGTACGTACTATAATAATAAGTGAGCTTCGAAAGGCCATCACTAGATGGTAGTGAATACCACAACAATGCGGGAGTGGGAATGGCTGCCTCCACTTGTCACATAATGACATGTGTATTTTACTCATTTTAGAGTATATATCAGGTTTCTATGTTATTTATATTGTTTATTATATCACATTAGAAGAATTGTGATAGATAAATAAGCTGTAGAGTTGATATTAGCATTATATTGACAGTATTTTGTCCTGCCTCCTGAGAGCAGAAATTCCACTGGAACGGATTAATGGCATTTCAATTAATTTAAATAAAGAAAATTGACTCAGCATACAAGCAGATTGGGATACGAGCTAGATCATGGAACGGATTAAACTCATAAGACGAGGTTCCACTGTACAAGCTTCAGTTTTACGCTCACTTGGTAGGATGGCTGTACCTCCCTTGGCAGTTGTCTACCAGCCTACTACCTAGTATTATTATTATTATTTGCAAAAAAGTGTTAAAACCATGTTAGTGGAAATTGGTATCAATGTCCCTATGGCCCAATCTTAGACCAGGCCTCCTAAATTAGAAAGGAAACACCACAAGAATAAGAACTATTAAGAAATACATGGGAAAGTAAAATGTACAATGAATGTAAGTGGAAATTTTAAAGATTTACCTCTCTTGCTATATTTATGAGACAAAGTACACAACATTTAAGAGGAATTAATTTTTACACTTAGATGGTGAGAATGAAAAGGAAAAAGAAATGTGAAAGGTGTGTCCAGGTGCAAATATCCTAGGCCAAGCTTTAAAGTTACATTTGGGCATAAGTAAGACTAATTCAGAACAAGATATTAGCAAAACAAACCCTTGCAGTCCTGGTCACTCTTGGCATTGCCACTCTTGGTAGAAGTATTCTCAGGGCAAACGAGGCAGGAAACCTGCCCCTCCTGTGGCTGGAAGGAGCCCTGGGGGCATGGCAGACATTCCCGCAACACCACATTGAAGAATGTTCCCACAGGACATTTTACTGTTGGAGGAATTAGTTTTGAAGTGCCGTTTGCAATTAAGAAACAGAGCCATGGTGCATTAGCCATGGTCATATTAAAGTTTGTAATTATAATTTTAATTTCAATAATTAAACTTTTTTTTTTTAAGACACTGGCCATCTCCCACTGAGGTAGGGTGAACCAAAAAAGAAAAAAACACTTTCATCATCACTCACTCTATCACTCTCTTGCCAGAGGCATGCTGATACTACAATTTAGATGTCCCTCCAAACTGCAACATATCTCCACCCCTCCTTCAGAGTGCAGGCACTGTACTTCCCACCTCCAGGACTTAAGCCCACTTAACCAGTTTCCTTGAATCCCTTCATAAATGTTACCTTGCTCACACTCCAACAGCACATCAAGTTATAAAAACCACTTGCCTCCACTCACTCCGATGAAACACGCTCACACACACCTGCTGGATGTCCCAGCCCCTCGTGTACAAATATAAATAATAACACACACATATCTTAGAATTTATATAATTTTGTATTTTAGTGTTATGTATATAAGCAACTGCAAAATGACACTGAGTAGCGAGAACCAGTGATCAGAGGTGCTTAAGAAATCTCCATTCAAAATCAAAATATACAACCGTCTTGATCTGTTGTTTTGAACAAACCGACTGTATCCATTGGTGCATGTGTAATGTTTCCCAGTAAATTTAATGTAAACTGGCAATATATATAATGAATAAAATAAATTCCAGGAATATATATGTTAGTTACTTAATGGAAGTTCATGTGAAAATGCAAGTCTTTATATGTGAGGTTGCCAACATACAAATGAGTTTTTTTTTTTTCAATGCACCAGTCATCTCCCACTGAAGCAGGGTGACCTAAAAAGAAAAACAAAGGTTTTTCTTTTTACATGTAGTAATTTATACAAGAGAAATAGTTAACAAATGAGTTATGTGTATCAAACAACAGTATAAAAGATGGCTAAATTTCACAAATATTTATTTATGACATTTTGGCCACTGTAAAATTTGGTATGATTTCTAAATGGCCATCTGTAGGTGAATGTGTGTACCTTGGAGGCCTCCTGTATAATGATTACTATTACAAGAGGTGTTTTCAGAATGTGGTACTTTACAGGAGCGAGGCAGCTTGCTAAATAACACAGAAGAGAATGAGAATGACATCTTACCACATTGTCCATCTCTGGGCACACTGCCAGCCTCACAGATGAACTCTGGATGCTCCTTGAGTCTAATGGCTGCCACACGAAGCTGTCGCTCTCCAAAGCTGATGTCCAATTGTCCTGCCTCTGCTGCTTGCAACAAACCACCCATGGCTCCTTCCAGTTTATCCGTTGCTCCCGACCCATGACCTGTAAAAGAAAGAAAGGGGATAAATAACAAAAAAAGGCACAATACCGTGACTGGAACGATACACAAATAACCCGCACATAAAAGAGAGAAGCTTACGACGATGTTTCGGTCTGACTTGGACCATTTACAAAGTCACTTTGTAAATGGTCCAAGTCAGACCGAAACGTCGTCATAAGCTTCTCTCTTTTATGTGCGGGTTATTTGTGTAAGAAAGGGGATGTGTTTTGTGAAGAATTTAAGACACTGACTAATAAATATTTTTAATTAACAATAAGATTAAAAAGAGGAAAAAGAAGTGTTACGTTGCACAAAATACAGCAAAACATATAGGTACCCATCTCCAGACACTTGGAAATTAAAATTAAATAATATTTTCAATCTTGCAAAATACACAATATTCTCTACCACTAAATGACAGGACACTGAGTTGGTGTTACAATTTTCACTTTGCTATTCTAAACTGTTGTTAAATACTAGATTCTTCAGTCATTTTTTTGTCCATAAACATTGTATTTTCCCTTAAATATTTTATTACAAAATACAAATTTGAAATTCTTATTTTTTTTTTTTTTGGGGGGGGGGGGGAGAAATCTTGTGATGCAAAGTTTAAGAAATAAAAATGAATAGTGAAAAGTCCTGTTATATAGAAATTATTTCTAGCTATAAGGATATTCCTCATAAGAAATGAAATGTAAAATTAGTACAAGAAAGTACTATACCCAAATGGGTCATATATAAAACAGTACTGTACTGTGAAATTCTATACAGCTAATTTAATCTTTCTTTTTAGGTACATACAGGTAATGTTTCATATCTACCTCTGTTATGATTTATGCTCAATATTAAATGTGAATATGTAGCAGTTTGGAGGGATATGTTGTGTATCTTTATACGTATATGCTTCTAAACTGTTGTATTCTGAGCACCTCTGCAAAAGCAGTGATAATGTGTGAGTGTGGTGAAAGTGTTGAATGATGATGAAAGTATTTTCTTTTTGGGGATTTTCTTTCTTTTTTGGGTCACCCTGCCTCGGTGGGAGACGACCGACTTGTTAAAAAAAAAAAAAAAAAAAAAAAAAAACAGAGTTAATAAAGTAGACACTAATGTTTAAAATAAATTACGCATGATGATTACTTCAGTCAAGTCTTACCTTCTACTCTGAATCGCACTTTGAAAGCTTTTTTGGCAAAGCCATGTCCAACATCTGTTGAGTAAGAGGCATCATAGTCGTATGAGGTTGAGCCCACATCATACTTCCCTGACTTCAGTACTGAAGACTGGCCTATGTTGCCATCAGCAAAGTTGCCACCAAGTGGGTATGGGCCCTCAGTCTGGTTTTCTTGTGAGCCAGAGCTATGGGTTGTCCACATGTGCTCTTGGCCAGAAGAGGTATGGGTATAGACAGAGCGGCGCTCTCCGACAGGCTGGTCATCTGGAAGCTGGATGGGGTTGGGGTATCTTTCACTGCTGTTACTGCCAATTTCACTACCAGTGAGCCCTGAAATCTTCATGCCACTCAGCTTTTTCACAGCTAGTTCACGCAATGCCTCTGCTTTATCCTCTCCGAACTCTCGAGAGAAAGCTAACAAGAAGTCCTCAGTAGAGAATTCTCCATTATTAGACTTTAAACTAGAGAGGAATGATCCAAAATGAACTAAGCCAATATCTGATGTCATTGATCGAGAGATGATATCAATCAAGACTCCAAGATAGTTTTCCTCGGATTGTTTATTAGAATGACTAGGAGTCTCTTTCTCCACTCCACTGCCAAACAAATGGTCAAGGGAAAATCCAAATTGTCTCTTGTGACGCTCTCTGTTTTTGATATCTTCAAACTCAGGCAGCAGAGAGATGTCTCTCCTAACTCTCTGCCTTTTGGTCATTGTCATGGTGTCACCGCGCTTCCAGTACAACCAATCACCATCATCATTCTCCATGGGCCAGAAAGATGCAAGTAGATCCTTATTTATAGACCTCTTCCTCCTGTAGAACCCAACTGAGTTCAGTTCTTCCTCAGCCTCAGCGAGGATACTCTCACACACAGCCTCCACAGCAGCCACTTCACACACCACATCCTCATTACACATGGTGTTCAGTGCCTCTTCCAGCTTCTTTTCCATTTCATTCTCTATCTGGAAACACAGAAGGGCATAAAATAGTTTTTCCTTCACTTATTTATGTGATAATAGCCATTATCTTGACATAAAATAAAGTTTATATTATATATAAATGCTTATTCCATTTTTAATATGGTAAATACAATAGTCCCCCACTTAAACATTCATAGAATGTAATTTCAAATAACTGAAAAATATTGGACTTTTCAGCTTAATGACCAGTTTGGCACTTATATAATCACTTTCCAGGGGTGTGAATAAACATAATGTAATTTTAATAGAAATGTGAATATTTTATACCATACATCTGTATATTTTATATACAATCAAAGACAAAATTAATTAAAAAATAATTGTGAACATTTCCTATTCTTCTTCTTTCAACAAAACGGCCGTATCCCACCGAATCAGGGTGGCCCAAAAGGAAAAACGAAAGCTTCTCCTTTTAAATTTAGTAATATATACAGGAGAAAGGGTTACAAGCCCCTTGCTTCCACATTTCCTATTATAAGTTGTAATATAAAAACCACATTTCTTAACCAAATTGTACCAAACAAATAAGAATTCAGGATATGGGTGAGAAAGCCAATCTCTCATAAGAACATAAGAGCACTGCAGCAGGCTTACTGCCCCCATGGTAGGCACATTCAAGTCACACTCATTCAAGAAGGAAAGGACACTGCAGCAGACCTACTGGCCCAAGCTCGTCAGGTATAACTCGCACCCACTCATGTATTTGTCTAACCTATTTTTAAAAATACAAAGCATTTTAGCTTAAATGACATTACTCAGGGGTTTGTTCCACTCATCCACAGCTCTATTACTAAACCAATGCTTTCCTATGAGTACAGTGCAGTTATGAATTTAATCCTTCCCAAGAAACATGTAATAAGAATCAGATATGGAAATTACACAAACATGGCATTCAGAAAATGTGCATGAAAATAACCATCCTTACAAAAAAATTGTTTGTAAGCTGAAAAACTGGCAAATCAACTCATTTGTAAACTGAGAATCTCCTGCATCTGATTGAAAGGAGATATTCCTACTGGGTAGAGTACAAAGAATTTGGTCTCACCTGCCCCATGAAGAAGATATCATCACATACTGAGCCGTCATCATCCACCGCCATCTCCCCTGCCTGTGATATGGTGTTTGATATCGAAGTCACTGAAATTTAGCCCACATTCTATTTATTTTACTTACCATTACCTGAGAGTATGAGCAGCATAAAACAAATATATACAGTATACAAAGCAACCACACGGGGAGTTGAATGATAGCTCTAGACCTTTCGTCTTGCAATCAACTCATCGTCAGGAGCTTGCAGTGTTGCAAAAAACGAGGTTCAAGCAAATACGATCACACGGAATGCCTTTGCAAAGGCAATCCCTGTGATCGCATCTGCTTGGACCTCCTCTTTTCTGCAACACTGCAAGCTCCTGATGATGTGTTGATCACAACACATCATCCAATTATTTCTCAATTGTTTCATATAAGAGAAGAAGAGATTTACCAGAGCAGTCAGGGAAGGGCATAGGGTTGTCATCAGGAAGCCAAATACCATCATAGGCACAGAAGTAATCCTGACGTGGACGCATAGCAAAGGCATAGCCATCATCACAAGTGAGTGTGCAGAAGACAGCTTCAGGGTTCTCAGTGCAGTTTGCAGCTCCATTGATGGGGTCCACAGGCAGCTGACAGGCGTGCTCTTTTAAGTCCAGAGGTGAGGGAGTAATGAGAGGAGGGAGATACTGTTGAGATATTCATCGATGAGCTAAGTCACTGTTATTAGAAGATATGAATGTTCAAATCTAAATGCTACATGCAAGTGTCATATATATTTGTAATATAACGAACAGTACAGTACTCTTTCCAATAAGTCAAAGAATATTGACCAAGCTAAAACTGAGTATCTTTCAAGTAATGGGTAGATATATGCAAATAACAAGTAAGAACTGTACATGAATGTAAAGAGAGCACAAGATTTGTTGTAATACCATTAACTTCTTAAAATAATAAACCTCTCAGTGCATCTAGCCTGTATAAATTTTCAGTACTCCAAAATCTATATTAAAAATCTCTAATATAGCTTTGGAGGCTCTGGAACTATCAAGCAAAGCTCTGCAGCTTCTCCTGAAGAGATTGAGAACCTACCCTGGAAAATCCTTAATTAAATAAGCATATATATATTTTTACTTGAGTAAGAGCATCAGTGAACATGAAGTGTCAACCTTGTGAGTTGTCTTACTTTGGACAGTGATGGTAATGTTACAGGAGGCAACATTGCCAGCCTCATCCACTGCCCAGTATTCCACCATGGTGTCACCTTGTGGGAACTGACCTGGCTCCTGTGACCGCGTAACCTGTAAAGAGGACCCCAATTTCAGTCATGGGACATTTACTGTTCACTACAAAAACACTACAAAAACTGCAAAAAGAATAAAAAATATACAAAAACACTATAAAAACTACAAAAACACTACAAAAACATTTTCCTAATACAAAGGGGAATTATGTTAAGCATCTACAGGTTAATGCTATTGTTATATCATCTTTAGAGTTTAACTGTCAAAAAACATGACAGAAATAACATCCAATTATTAATACAATACTGTTTGTTTGAATCCACTGTTGTATCTCTTTCTATGTTATGTTTCCAAAGGACAATACATGAAGAATAAAACTGCTTTACTACTATTGTTATTTATTGCTATTCTTACTGATGTCCCCATTTGCTAAATGGTAACATCAGGCTAGCCAAATACAGGTATTGCATCGTCACAATACAGCCTCTCCTCACTTAATGACGTACTCGTTTAATGACGACTCGAACATACGATGGGTTCTCTGATCAGAATGCATACCTAAATAATGTATATTAGAGCTGATTTCCTCTATTCTTCTTATTACAGTATACAGTACACTACTGTATAAACATTTAAAAATATGCTAAAAATGTTATAAATGGTACAAAGGTGACATTAAAACAATATCAGAGATGACTGACACAAACCCACTACCATTATAGTATGCTCCTTGTTTAGTGATGAATTCGTTTACCAACGTGGTCTTAGGAACGAAACTCTGGCGTTAAGTGAGGAAAGGCTGTATTTACATGCTGTGAATAGAATACAACACTCCTCATTTATGTATAACTTTTCTCACAGCTGTTTAATGAATTTCTGTCTAGGTGATTCAAGGCCCAAAGCAATCAATAGTTTATAGCAGTTAGAAGTCATTTTAGAGAATGATTAATAAGATGAGGTAGCCTGGAGAGCAAATGCACTTAGCAGTTAAAAACAAGAAAGAGATGTTTGATTGGGAGGTGGAGGTAGTGGAAAGATGGAGAGAATACGTATTGTGATGACTTGTTGAATGTTAGTGATGAAGGAGAGGCTGAAATGTCATACATGAGGCAGGGAGGGATAACACTGTACAGGAGTGAGGAGGATGGAGAGGGACAGGATGACAATGAGGGTGTATAAATCCGAGGTAGAAAGTAGGAGTCATCCCAGGATTAGGTGAAGTAAGAGAGACTTTCAGTTTTACAGGTTTAAACATTCAGCAAGCTTATGTGAGTGTGCTAAATAGAATCAAATAGAGAAGTGTTTTTTTTTAAAAGATATGCTGTTAAGAGGATGAGCAAGATAACTTTTACAAAGAGATTCAGGGAAAACTGGTTAGCTGGACTCAACTCCTAGAGGTGGGATGTTGAAGTCAGAGGGGTTATCTGAAATGTGATGTCAACACACTTCTGCCAAGACAGCAATTAAATGAATTATGGTGAATGTGTTATCTTCTTTGGGTCACCCTGCCTTGGTGGGAGACAGCCACTGAGTTAAAAAAAAAAATTTAAATGTTAAATAGCAGTTGCATATTTTGTGAATAAACTTTTAAACTACAAAATGAGGTTCAAGTCCTTGTCCCTGTCTTCAAAAATCTCTTAACTATCCCAGCAGTGGTTTATGTTGCAAACAAACTCACTCAAACACATTAAAATATCTTCAATACATGTATTTACTTTTTTAGGGGGTTAACTTTAACACGAATGCATATTAAATAACGTAAATATCAAAATTGTAGGTAGTAGGTTGGTAGACAGCAACCGCCCAAGGAGGTACTACCGTCCTGCCAAGTGAGTGTAAAACGGAATCCTGTAATTGTTTTACATGATGGTAGGATTGCTGGTGTCTTTTTCTGTCTCTTTAAACATGCAAGATTTCAGGTACGTCTTGCACTTAGGTCACATTACACATACTTGTACAAACATATATATACACACCCCTCTGGGTTTTCTTCTATTTTCTTTCTAGTTCTTGTTCTTGTTTATTTCCTCTTATCTCCATGGGGAAGTGGAACAGAATTCTTCCTCCGTAAGCCATGCGTGTTGTAAGAGGCGACTAAAATGCCAGGAGCAAGGGGCTAGTAACCCCTTCTCCCGTATAAATTACTAAATTTAAAAAGAGAAACTTTCGTTTTTCTTTTTGGGCCACCCTGCCTTGGTGGGATACGGCTGGTTTGTTGAAAAAAAAAATCAAAATGGTAAACAATACTGTATTTGCAAGTTGAAACAATAACATTAAAGAGTGAAATGGTGACACTGCTTACCTGGACAGCCTTGCCAGAGTTATCAGAGAAAATAGGTTCCTCCCAGTAGACATCAACATCCTCTTCATGAGATAGGAAAATAGGTGGAGAGTCGCACCAGTCCACGCGAGGTGCCTCCTCATCTAGAGAAAACAACACCAGTTTAAAAATTATATTTTGAATTCTTTGCTTCTACATATACTATATTATAATTCTTTTTCTTCTCTATGGGGGAGTGGAAAAGAATTCTTCCTCCATGAGCCATGAGTGTTGTAAGAGGTGACTAAAATACCAGGAGCAAGGAGTTAGTAAACCTTTCTGCATTAATTACTAAATATAAATGTAAAAGAAGAGAAACTTTTTTGAAAGTATTTCTTCTTTTAGAGGCCATCCTGCCTCAGTGGGAGATCGCCAGTGTCTTAAAAAAAAAAAATTCTTTATTTGGAAGAGGTTTAAGATTGATAAAACAGATGAAAAAGACAGAGAACTCAAAAGAGTAAATTTGATTTGAGAAAAAAAAATTTAATTATACACCAACTTATGTAAAATATAATGAGAGAATATGAATTTACATCAATTTTTTTATTTAACAGAAAAACAATGCACAAAACTCATAAATTAGAATACCGTGTATACCAGTACTATAAGAGACGGAAGATTTTGTATGAGAATAGTGAATTACTGTTCATACCAGCCTCAATATACGTAACCAGAGTGGGAGCTGTGAACCTACAGTGATTGGGGATAAATTTTTATTTTGTGGGTAGATTATAAATTAGCAAGCCTCAAGAAGTAGAGCAAATACTGTTGAATTGCATCAATCCAAAAAAAGTATGGTACCTCTTTGTGGGACTTTCTGAAGTTGTCGTGTATATGATAAAATGGTACAGGAACTGAAAATGAGAGAATACACATTGAATAAAACAGTGCTTCTCTTCGAGGTCCTATATGCTTGCAGCTTGAGGTGTAGTACAAGATTCACTTAACCTACAATCCCTCTTATGGAATCCAAATGCTTTGCCAACCTTACCTACAACTGTGATGGAGAACTGACAGGAGGCCTTGTTGCCCAACTTGTCCTTTGCCACATAGGTGATGGTGTGGGTGCCAATGTTTAGTTTCATAGGCTGTGTTGTGGCTGGGATTGTTGTCAGCCATACCTTGGCCTTCGAGTTGTCTGCAGGGATATTACATATGTAGTATATACAACCATGACATTAAGTAAGAGTAGTGATTAATAGTAAGAGGTTATTATTTATGAGGAGGAGGAAGGAAGATGTCTAGATCAATTTTTTAAGAGGTGATAAATGAATTCAAAACACATGTTGATGACAATGGTATCAAGATAATTGAGAAGAGAGAAGGGGATTATTCATTAATAGTGGATTGGATGGGATAAAGGTTTAGTGTACACTCAGAGATAAGAAGGTTCCTGGTGATGAGAAATTGAAGTTTCTTGGTTATGAGGAGGGAAAAAAGGATGGTTGTATCTTATTGTGGAAAGAATGGTTTACAGTATACAACAAAGGAAAGAGGTTGAATTTTTTTTTTATTAGCTCATGTGAGGAATAGAGCACATTTCTTAGATTATTGCAGGGAGGAAGTGATTTTTTGACAAGCTCTGCAAAAAGTTAGTAGGCTTTGGTTAAAAAGTTTTTAACTGGATTTGATTAAGAAATTTTGCTTTAAAAGAATAAAAGTTAGATTTGGTTAAGAAAATTTCTAGGCAACTTGTGTCAGAAGATAATTAAATAACCTTTAATAACATAAGATAATATGTTTAATATGATGTACAGTGGACCCTCGACTAACGATATTAATTGGTACCCGAGTACGAATATCGTTAGTCGAGTTTTTTTTAGCGTTAGTCGAGGCAAAATGTTAGCGTTAACATGTATCGTTAGTCGGATTTAACGTTAGACGATGCCATCGTTGGTCGAGGGTCCACTGTATATTGAAATCTTGAAAAATTCACAGCATAAATAACACTGAATGACCTTTAACAAACGGAGCATCCCAGGTGACCATGGCAAAGCTCTCATGTGGGTCTGTCGTCAATGTCACGTTTGCTGGGCACTGCAGCACCGGCGGTGTCACATCTGGAGCAGAACACGGTCATTACATTTCAAAATTGAAATACAGTGGTACCTTGAGTTATGAACTTAATTTGTTCCAGAAGGCTGTTCGAGTGTCGATGCCGAACAAATTTGTTTCCATAAGGAATAATGAAAATTAGATTACAGTAATCCATTTCAGACCCCCAAAAATACACTTACAAAAGCACTTACAAAAATACAATTACATAACTGTTCGAGCTGGGAGCTGCTTGTATCTCAAGGTACCACTGTAATGTGAGGAGGAAGTAAAAATACCAAGATGTAAAGAAAACTACTCAAGATATAAATTTGGCGATGGTATATTTGATGATGCAAATCATATGAAGTATTGGTGCCAGTAGAACACATGGACATAAGATTCCTGACACCCTAGCAATACAAATTCTGAGAATTGAAATTATGCCTTGCTAACATATTAGTGCTATGACAGTATGAATGAAATAACACTGGAAAGGTGAAGAGTGGGCAGACTGTATATCTCTAGACTGTCAGACATCTTTTACATGGTAAAGCACTCATCCTCACACCATGAACTGATCATAAAGCTTCAACCACACACTTGATCAAAATCATCCACACACACACACCACCACCTGCTAACAAAGCCTCAAACACACACTTGCTCAAAATTTTCTACGTACCAACACCTACTCATAAAACTTCAACCATACACTTGCTCAAAATTTTCTACGTACCAACACCTACTCATAAAACTTCAACCATACACTTGCTCACAATCATCCAGACCCCAGCAACTGTTCATAAATACCCACCTACACACTTTGGAGTTTTATGACCACCTGACCAGATGCCAGGGTCAACACAGGTGGTCTTTACGGGGCCGCTGAGCTGGTAGCCAGGGTCACATGCAAACTCACACCTTGTCCCATACTTTGATTTAGAGGTGGTACAAGAGGCAGGGCGCACCTGGCCATGGCGTGGCAATGAAAGTGATGGGCAGAAGATAGCTGTAATCAGGTAAAATGTGATTAAGTGGTGTAGGACGAGTTAAACCATGCCTCGCTGAACGAGGCAAGATATGGAGGACTGACTTATTCAGAGACAAACACATAACAAGGATGAATAAGACTGGTCAGAATATTATATGTCATATATTGTAGTGAACTAGAATCAGGACAACTGTGAGTGAATCAAGGATGCGCAGAAGGATATAATATTGATACAAAGTAATGTTCACATTGTCAATAACCGTAATGTGCTGTAACACCTGTCACTATGTGTTGCTTATAGACTATTCCCAATGGAATATGATGAAATATGCAGACCAGACTTTCTAAGGTGTATATTATTCAATCAACCACTATCATATGACTCAGGTTAAATTAACCGCAGTAGGCATGTTAATCTTTCAATGTAACATCTTTACAGCAACTCACGCTTGCAGTATGCTGAGATGCCATCCCACATTGCAACAGGGAGGCAGGTTCTTGTCTTAGAGCCAACAAGTTGGTAGCCTGGGTCGCAGGTGAAGTGGCACTCAGTGTCCATGGTAAGGTGAGTCTGAGAACACACCATTGTTCCATGTTCCATTGGCTGCAGCTTGGGGCAAGACTTCACTGTCAACCCAACAAGGTAATGTGTTAGTAGCCAGGAATGAAGCTTAGCTTTCTTTGTCTAGCTATTATAAATGATTTTTAGCAAATCAGTTGTATGCAATATGTTGGGAAACTAGGGAGGCTATTAAAAAGAATCTGCAGTCTAAGAGTTACTAAGAGGAGTAACCATTATTGACATAAAAATTTAACTAAGTAAACATTTTGCTTATCTTGAGAATTCATAAAATGGCTGGTTACTAGGGATATATACTATGGGGCAATAACTTAGAAACACGCCACTTTGGAGTACTGACTAACACACTGGGTGTCTCCACCGCTCCACACGCCATCCTCGCCACAAAGTCTAATGGAGGAGCCTTGGAGAGTAAAGCCTGGGTTACAGCGAACACCACAAGCAGCATTAACCACATTGTTGCAGGTGTTGCGCACAAAGTAGCCATTCTCTGGGGGTACCAGCACTGGGCACTGTAACACTGTCAAGGAAAGACCAAGCAAACATGTGAATACCTGCCTGCATCTGCATTCTCCTTATATTTTTTTATATTATCATTATTATTATTTAGTGAAATAAGCCATAAAACTAATTACAAATAATTTGTAAATACAGTACTGAAGTGCTAACATAAATGTCTTAAACGTTTCGTAAGTGAACTCACTCATGCACTGCATGCCGACTTGGTTGTAGCCTCTCTTACAGTAGCACTGCTGAGACGAAGTAGAAGCCTGAACGCTCATCATTTGGGGATCAGGACATGGCTTACATGATGATACATCCCCTGGCCCCTGTGTGTCCTTGTATGTCCCCGCTGGACATGCTGCATCAGAAAATCAAGATGGAAAATATCTCAATATGCATAGTACACACATGTACTCAAGTCTGGTAAAAGTTGATCAAGCTGGCTGTCATATTTAAATGATAAATGTATTGATATTTGCTGTTTAGAAGGATAACTAAACTGTCATATCTGCAAGTCTCTGGCAACACAGTGATAGTGTAAATGATGGTGAAAGCGTTTCTTTTTCAGGTCACCCTGCCTTGGTGGGAGGTGTTAACAAAAAAGTGTATTTAAATTTCAAACTGTGCTTACATGTGTCAAATAATGCATAATTCATAGCACAATCTAATATGAATGATAATTGAATAAATTAACTCTAATTAGGAGACTTAGGCAATTCCTACAGCCTTTTAATAAGACCTCGTTTTAGCTCGAATAATCCAAAAGTTGACCTAGGATTGTGCATCCCGTACTTTACTTAACTCTTCTAATAAGACAACGAGACTGAATCAGGCACTCTCAGTCTTATTACGAGGCTATATTAACTATCTAAGCGTCTTGATTAGACTGAATTTATATCCAGTAATTATTTCTGAAACATGAATGCTATAGATTATGTAATAATAATAATGTAATATAATAATATCTTTACCAGGTATACAGGCCTAGCTGACTTCAGTGACATACTACTCTATAGAAAGCCACTTGTTATGCAGAGCAAATTAGGTTAGTTTTGTCCCAGGATGCGACCTACACCAGTCGACTAACTCCCAGGTACCCATTTTACTGATGGGAAACACAGACAACTGGTGTAAGGTAACACAACCAATGTTTCTACCCTCGCTGGGAATCAAACCCAGACACTTGGTGTGTGAAGTGAGAGTGTTAGTCACCAGGCTTTAACATATACAAACAAAAAATATTGACAATGCAAATGAGTTATAATATGTTAATAACTCAATGGCTGTCTTCCTTTTCAACCAATGTAAATATGTATACTCTTTTATGCAACTGTTTCTTACCATTGGCGTAGGGCAGTGTTATTCACTAATTTTTGCAAGAGAGCCACTTCGGTTAAACACATTGAGAGAGCCGCAGCTACTGCAAGTTAGCGTAACTCAACTAAATTAAGTAGTACTGAGCTGCTAGTGCAATATAGTAAATGAGAAAAGTTAGACATGGTAATATTAGCCTGCATATCTTGTTATTGGGCGGCTCGCGAGCCACGCAATGAATACCACTGGCGTAGGGTCAAAATCCAATTCCCAGTTTAGCAAGAATTAGAGAACATAGTTTTAAAACTTTCTGAAATTATGTAGGAATGCCCTAATTAATGTCAGTATATTATTTTTTGTTTGTGATTGGCCCTGCCATGTTGCACATCCCAAAATAAATGTAATAGTTTTGCCAATATGTCCTAAAATAACAATTTTCACTAAAATATAAATGTGCCACTATATAGATAGCATGCTTGTATTCAGAATATTGTGGGGTTTTGCAAAAGGATTGAATCTCCATGTTAGCAACAGTTATTAAGCCACAATACAATTATCTTTAATTTTATTACTTATTTATGCTGCATGACTTGCTTAAATAAATGAACTGAATAACTTGACACTTACGTCTACAGTCGCCTCGGAGCCCTGTGCCATAGTAGCCCTTGCGGCAGGTGCAGGCAAAGTGCCCCGTGTGCGTGCCACAGGTACAAGTGGCATAGGGGTCACAGCAGTAGTCCTCCGCCTGGCATAGCTTGAGGCAAGACCGTGGATCCTGCTCCATTAAAACCCCACTGTGAAGATCTGTAAAGTATGATAAACTATTAATGCAGGAACATGACAGTAATAAAAGCTGGATTATTATTACGTATTATTATTATTATTATTACACCTTGAACTTAAAGTTCTAGATTCCTTTTAATAATTAAAACATTTAAAAATAGTAGTTATGTTTTCAAACTCAACAGTTTACTTTATGGATGGGGCTAGACTATCTAACCAGCCAGGCTGTGGCTCGTACGTTGGTTTGCGTGCAGCCAGCAGTAACAGCCTGATTGATCAGGCTCTGATCCACCAGGAGGCCTGGTCACAGACCAGGCCGCGGGGGCGTTGACCCCCGGAACTCTCTCCAGGTAAACTCCAGGTAAACTAATTTAAATCTATATTCTGCATTAGTATTACAATCAAAACTAAGCACTAAACCCACAAGGTATAAAAACTGGAGCTATTATCTTCTGTCTTATTAATGAATTACAAAACCAACAAGTAGATATGCAAATAAGACACACATGCAACTCTTTGAGTATCACCTTCTCAAGGCTGAGGGACTGATCATCTCAGACCCTCTTTATGTCTTCCACCATCTCCAGTATTATTCTCAGTATGTGACTGATAAAGCCACTGGTTGACAAAACATTTTCAAAATAAGGCTAGCAAAGTGTTGCACATGCATCTTATTTACTAACCTTCTCCCTGCTGCAACATACTTTCATAATCTTAACGTATAAATCCTCTCTTGTGTTCAGTCATGTCTGAAATCTTATAACTCACCTATTTATTAAATACATTACAGTATGTGAAGACTTAGAACTATAGCATTTAATACAATTTATTATAATCTTAGGGAAACGCTTAAATCCATAAGTATCATATAACACCAAGAGAATTGATAAGTTAAATAGGTTTGCTTGTAAAGGGAAGCTAACTCCAATTTCAAGGGGCAAAAGTCCTTTGCTAGCATCAAGGCACCCCACTGAAAAGAACAACTACAATATATATAATGCAAATTATAGGTGTTAATACTGTACCCTCATGTAGAGCTCTTCTGGCCAGAGCCTCAAACTCTTCAAAGGAGTCCAGAATATAGGAATGTTCCTCCTTTGGCACCGATGCCATATCATACAACTCCTGAAAAATTACATAAAACACATTAGTAAACTAATATATATAGACAGCAATTGTGACCTACTGTTGTTGTTGACAAAACCCTAATGGAAATAAGTCGCTTTGACTTTTTGGGGTTATTCTATTTAATTTACACATGTTACTATGTTTGGTAATTTGTGTTATCATGGGGAGCACTAAATCCATAGGGATTATAAAGTGCCTGGGGGGATGGATGGCATTCAGGGTTAATTCAGGGAATTGAAGCACAAATCCATTTCCTTTGATCAAGAGCCCCTCACCAGTATCAAGGAACCTCCCTTGAGGGGATAATTTGTGTAACTGTATTTATGTGTACCTGTACCTAAATAAATTTATGAAAAAATACTATTTGCATCCTTTTGTAAGCTTAAGTGCCATTGTTATGACCTCTGTACTCACAACACATGCACAGTTTAAAAAGTGGGTATGACAGGGCTCCAGAGGTCAAAAACTAAGTTTTGGTAGTGTTGATTACAACAGGGCCAGGAGCTGTGTCTCGACCCCCTCCCCCACACAGGCAACTCTGGGTAATTAACTATTACAAGTAATTAATTACAGCTTATGAAGTAAATTACAAAAAAGCAATTTAAAGTTTTTATTTAGATGAAGACAATATTTAAAATTAAACTGTGGCAAAGTTAAATTAAAATATTCCCAACACTTAATAAAAAAAAAATGGGATAATGACCCAGAAAAAAAATAAGAGAAATTGTCTTATTTCTCTAAAGATTTTTCACTTACAATAATAAATTTTCCAATAGTCTTGAGGATACTTACACAATACATTATGTAAATTTAACTCAGGATAACCAAATAAAGTCAAAATATATTTCTACAAGATAACCCCCCCCCCCTAAAAAAAAAAGTCAAAGTGACTTATTTCCATTAGTCCTGTTAACCTTCGTCTACTACAGGTCATTCGTACCTTTTTTTTCATTTCACTGACGATGTTTCCTAGTAGTTATCACCACCAAGGTCACTAGCACTGACCTTCAACCCCAAAATACAGACCAAAATAAGTTGTCTAGGTCAGCACCATGTTACCCTCAGGTCAACCATTGAAATCTGACAATAATTCGTCTTTTGGTAACAAATAATACAAATATTTACAAGGTTATTTATACTGAGTGTGTGTAAGTCATTGATGACCCAGTGTGTGTGAATTAAATATTAATTAAGTGTCCAGGAAGACAAATATGACCAATTAAAGGCAGCTGAGAGAGAGTAACATAGCTAATTACCGTCACACACACACCCTAAGGTTTCCAAGTCTGTTCTTTGTAAATTATGAAGTATATTAGTGTATTAAATGCCAGGAAATTGTATAGTAAAATTACAGATCCACCTGTGGATTCCATCATACACTGATATTCAAATATATGAGAACTTTTGAGTTGGAAAGGTTATGTCTTGAAGGAGACAGTCCTTTGATAGTTTAATAGTATTTTTGCCTTTAATAATATCTTTATTTACTACAAGTACAAAGTCTAACTGACATCAATGACATACTACTATGTAGAAAGCTGGTTATGCTGAGCATTTCGGGCAAATTAGGTCAGTTTTGTCCCAGGATGCGACCCACACCAGTCCACTAATACCCAGGTACCCATTTTACTGATGGGTGAACATAGACAACCGGTGTAAAGAAACACGCCCAATGTTTCTACCCTCGCTGGGAATCGAACCCAGACTTCGCCGTGTGAAGCGAGAGCTTTATCTACCAGGCCACGGGCGACGAGCAGCCAGGCGTCTGTGTTGGTTCCTTGGTTGAAGAATATGACATTTGTGCAACATTTGGGAATCTTTAATGAGGAAACGTTTCGCCGGCCAGTGAAAGATGAGGTAGTCAGTCCCTCAGCCTGGAGATGACATCAACTCCAGCCTGAGGGACTGACTACATCATCTTCCATTGTTCTTCTCTGTATTGGACTGAAGAAGTCACTACTAGCTGGCAAAACGTTTCCTCAATAAACATTCTCAAATGCTACATGTCTCATTCTTCACCTTGTAGGTTTTATAAAAATCTACAAGTAATAATATATTTGAAATTATCAATTTAAGTATCAAGTGTATACAGACAGCTGACTTTTAATACCAATTTTAGGAAACAATCTTTATTGTGTACAAGTGAAATACAGCCTTAATTAAGTACCCTTGTGTAGGTGATGAGACTTTACACCTAACAAATTATTATCATACATAGTGTAAATTATCATACATAGTGTAAATTACCTACGATAACCCAAAAAAGTCAAAGTGACTTGTATCCATTGTTTTAAGAAAATTTTATATATTTTTCAAACTAATTTTTTGTATCTCTCATTATTTAAATTTGTTTTCGGGGTCCCTTTACAAACATTACTTTTACTGACCTTGACATTTCCATTGCGTATACCGAAGGTGAAGATCCTGACGCCCCTGGCTTGAAGGAAGGCAGCAGCTGGCCTGGGGTCACCACCATTGCTGTAGCCATCTGTCACTAGGAACACTGCCTTCACTGCATCCTGTCTGGCCAGGGCTATCACGCTCTGTTGTACCCAGAAGGTTAAGTTAGGAAACAGGACAAGTGTTTCCTGACGTGGGTCAGGATGACCAAAAGCTGGAGCTTTTGGTTATCTGACCAGCAGCTGGAGCTTTTGGTTATCTGACCAGCAGCCAGAGCTTTTGGTCATCTGACCAGCAGCTGGAGCTTTTGGTTATCTGACCAGCAGCTGGAGCTTTTGGTTATCTGACTAGCAGCCGGAGCTTTTGGTCATTTGACCAGCAGCTGGAGCTTTTGATTATCTGACCAGCAGCTGGAGCTTTTGGAAATCTGACCAGCAGCTGGAGCTTTTGGTTATCTGACTAGCAGCCGGAGCTTTTGGTCATTTGACCAGCAGCTGAAGCTTTTGATTATCTGACCAGCAGCTGGAGCTTTTGGTCATCTGACCAGCAGCTGGAGCTTTTGGTCATCTGACCAGCAGCTGGAGCTTTTGGTTACCTGACCAGCAGCCGGAGCTTTTGGTCATTTGACCAGCAGCTGGAGCTTTTGGTCATTTGACCAGCAGCTGGAGCTTTTGGTTATCTGACCAGCAGCTGGAGCTTTTGGTTATCTGACCAGCAGCTGGAGCTTTTGGTCATCTGACCAGCAGCTGGAGCTTTTGGTTATCTGACCAGCAGCTGGAGCTTTTGGTCATCTGACCAGCAGCTGGAGCTTTTGGTCATCTGACCAGCAGCTGGAGCTTTTGGTCATCTGACCAGCAGCTGGAGCTTTTGGTCATCTGACCAGCAGCTGGAGCTTTTGGTCATCTGACCAGCAGCTGGAGCTTTTGGTCATCTGACCAGCAGCTGGAGCTTTTGGTCATCTGACCAGCAGCTGGAGCTTTTGGTCATCTGACCAGCAGCTGGAGCTTTTGGTCATCTGACCAGCAGCTGGAGCTTTTGGTCATCTGACCAGCAGCTGGAGCTTTTGGTCATCTGACCAGCAGCTGGAGCTTTTGGTTATCTTACTGAGCCTTCCTCTGGCCCACCACTCCACCTTTTAAAAATTAAGGTTTTATTATAACCACGCTAAGCAGTGTACAAGTCTAACTACCCCACGGAACGTGGCAGGTTCAAAACCACGTTTTTAAGATACTGAACAAACGCTAGGTTAGTAAATAAAGATATATTTTATCAGAGAACGTGATCAAGGTCCCAGGATCAAAACGTTTTCTAATGAATAACCTAGTGTTTGCTCACGTGTCTTTTTAACTTCTCAGTATTCATTACCAAGGTTTAAGAGGCAGGGCCATACACAGCTTTAAGAATAGGCATGATAGGGCTAGTGAAGCCAGGAGAGCTAGCCCAGCAGTGATCAGTTGAGAGGCTGGGCATGGAGCTGTGGCACCTAGCATATAACTGGGATTAAACATGTCATCCCGCACCGTGGATTGAAGTATGGCACCTGACACTAATCTGGCACTGAAATATTGTACTTGTTACTTATCTGGGACTGAAACATGGAACCTGTCACTAATCTAGGATTACCTGGCCTTCCTCTGTTTTGTGGATATATAGCTATGCAAGGCAGAGGGTCTTTTGCCTCAGTTTCTATCTTAATTTTTAACCACTGTCTGGCGAAACGTCTTCTAATGAAGATACTTCCAATGAAGTATACCCAAGTGTGCAACACTTGGGTATACCTACTTGGTATACCCAAGTGTCGCACACGTGTCTAATTTATCAACTTGTCAGTTCTCTGAGCCATTCATCTACAATACCCAGGTGTTGTATACGTGTCTTAATTCTTTGCTGAAAATATAGCACCTAGGACTCACCGGGGACCGAAACATGCCAATTGGCTCTCAATTGAACCTGAAATATGGCAGTTAATACTCACTTTAGACGGAAGTATGGAGTCTAGTATTTACTTGGGTGGATAAAAACACAAATGCAGTGTAATGTGGTCATTTATTAACGTTTCGCCCACTTATTGGGCTTTATCAAGGAGCCTGAAACGTGGCGCCTAGCACTCACCTGGAACTGAAAGACGACACCTAACTTGGATTAAACCATGGCAAATATGGTACTGACCTGAGCCTCGAGCATGGCACCGAGGGTGTAAGTGCCACCACCCGAGTATTTGATCCTGGGTAGCTCCTGTTCCAGTAAAGAACACTTGTGGTTCTCCTCGGAGGCCTGGGTCACGTGGTCAATGTGGCGGATGACCTGACGTATGAAATATATGTCTGAGTAACCAATACAACCAGGGTTGAGTTTAGATTTTTATTTGGAGGTCCCTTGATGTTGGTGAAGGTTTGTTGGTCCAAGGAATTGGCGCTGCCTTCCCCTTCCTTAGATCAAATTTGAATACCTCCCATTCACACCTTTGCTAGAAGTTTGAAACCAATCAGAAGAAGCATTTTCCAGCTATTGCTTGGAAAATACCGCACCATTTCAAAAATAACATTGAAAAACTGACACACACTCCAATGACAATCCCAATTTGCTGTATATCAGAAGCGGCTTTCTCAAACAGAAACCAAAATTTGGAATGACCTATATACAAGTTAATAAAGGGCATCTGCACATGCCAGTAGTTTCATGAACCTTTCCCTAGTTAGAATATACCGGCGTTAAAAATCTGAAGTTTATAAAGAAAAAATTTTGGGCATACCTAGTGAGAGTATTATTTAAAGTAATTCAGTCAAAGCAATTCTTAAAGTTTTACTTAGCATTTTTTTGCATGTTTTAGTCACCTAAGATTTTTTGTAGATCCTAAACTATGTTGTAGGCACTCAGAATATTGCAAGGCCTTAGGCACTGTGCCTACTGTGTATAGTGAATAACCTGGCATTTCATACCTTTTGGAGGCTTTTATATGTAATTCTAGTATTTTTTATATTTTACCTGGGAAGGTTATCATATTTTTTTGTTACAAGTTAAAAGTGAAAGACATGTAACTCGTAACTCCTAGAAGGTGTATTGTGCAGGTGGTTTTTCTAAGTGGGTGAGGCTCAATGGGGCATGTCAGGAGCTAAGTGGTAGACAGAGAACTGCTGGACGTGAGGCTGACCACGTCCCCGAGTCTCACCCGGTACCATAACTGCTGTAATGGCACTTATGGATACCCTGTGTCTCCCTGATGGCTTTGATAGCGACAGAGATTAAGCCTGTTATTACCTTTAACACTCTCGGATTTTGACTTCCAGTACTATTATCATGACTAATTCTATATAAGCGTTTATATCTTCTAGTTTATCTTAATATATCTAAGAAACATATTCACAGTTTTCCAAATGATGAGTGTCTTGCAATCTTCGTATCGTTGCACAATTCTACTCTCGTCCCTCTTACCCACATAACCCATCACTACACTCCTGTTCTCACGTCATGTTCCCTCTCTCTCTACCAGATAACCATAGGAGAGATTACTTTGTTACATTCCCGAACCTGTTACATTATAGTACTCGTAATCATGTTGACCTCTGATGGTCCTCTATAATCCGTGTGGGATTTTGTAGTGACTTTCTCAAGGTTTTCCCTTCCTGTAGTCTACCTGGAGGGAATTCCGGGGATCAACGTCCCCGCGGCCCGGTCCACGACCAGGTCTCCCGGTGGATCAGGGCCTGATCAACGAGGCTGTTACTGCTGGCCGCACGTAATCCAACGTACGAACCACAGCCCGGCTGATCCGGCACCGTCTTTAGGTATCTGTCCAGCTCCCTCTTGAAGACAACCAGGGGTCTTCCCGTAATGCCCCTTATTGCTGGTGGGAGGCTGTTGAACAGTCTTGGGCCCCGGACACTTATTGTGTTTTCTCTTAGTGTACCAGTGACGCCCCTACTTTTCACTGGGGGTATGTTGCATCGCTTGCCAAGTCTTTTGCTTTCGTATGGAGTGATTGCTGTGTGCATATTAGGGACCAGTCCTTCCAGAATCTTCCAGGTGTAGATTATGATATATCTCTCTCGCCTGCGCTCTAGTGAGTACAAGTCAAGTGCTTCCAGGCGCTCCCAGTAGTTAAGGTGTTTGATGGAACTTATACGTGCAGTAAAGGTTCTCTGTACATTCTCTAGCTCTGCAATTTCACCTGGCTTGAATGGGGATGTTAATGTACAGCAGTATTCCAGCCTAGAAAGAATAAGTGATTTAAAAAGGATCATCATTGGCTTAGCATCTCTTGTCTTGAATGTTCTCATTATCCATCCTATCAGTTTCCTCGCAGATGTGATAGTGGCATTGTTGTGATCCTTGAAGGTGAGATCCTCTGACATTACCACTCCCAGGTCTCTCACATTACTTTTCCTCTTTATTGTGTGATTGGAGTTTGTAGTATACTCAGTTCTAGTTATTATTTCCTCCAGTTTTCCATAACGGAGTAGTTGGAATTTGTCTTCATTGAACATCATATTGTTCTCCGTTGCCCATTGGAAAACTTGGTTTATATCTTTTTGGAGGTTAACAGTGTCCTCAATGGATGACACTCTCATGCAGATCCTAGTATCGTCTGCAAAAGATGATACAGCGCTGTGGTTTACATCTCTGTCTATGTCTGATATGAGAATAAGGAACAGGATAGGTGCGAGTACTGTGCCTTGTGGGACAGAGCTCTTCACTATGGTAGCATCTGATTTAACTCTGTTTACCACTACTCTTTGTGTGCGATTGGTTAAAGAATATTGTATTTTTTTATGATACTTGGAATTATCTTCACTAATATATTCCCCGAAACTTATTAGAAAACTGGCTAATAAGTAACTATGGTTGAATTGCATTTTTCATAGATAAAACAGCAACATTCAAGAAATTCGTCTACAGATTTTGGGAAACACAAACCACACATATTCATCCATGGAGGAAATTTGATTACTTCTCATTCCTCAGACGCTGAATGCCCCCGTGAATGTAATAGCAATAATAATATACACTGGAAGACCTGTGGCTTCTACCTACCTTGCTCTTACTGGAGAAGGTGATGACGGCGACTCGGGTCTGGTTGTAAGAAACAGCGAAGTCTGCCAGCAGTTTCTTGACAAACTTGATCTCGTTGAAGAAATTCTCGGCCCCCACCGACGCTGAGGAGTCAACCAGGAACACCAACTCAATCTTCTGGTTGGGAACCTGTATCACACATTCTTTTTTTAAAAAGGGCACTCATACTCTTGGAAATAAGTCATGCTGCTTGACTTTGGAAAAAAATGTGGTTGAATTAGCTTTCACTGATGCTTTTGTTCCATGGAAATAGAACTGTTCTCCTCTTCCTTGGATTGAACTTTATTATCTAACATTCCCCCAGGGACTGACTCCTACAGGTTTTATCTACCAAGTGTGTCTTATGTAACGACCTAGTAACCTTCGAGCGGGTCGATTCACGGTTCCTAATCCCACCGATATGTTCCTACCCATTTAACTAATTTGGTTATTGGCGGTTAAATAAACTCAAATTATCGTAGCACAGCCTAGAATAATCAGGAAACAGGGCAGTTTTCTCTTGACGTAAATGTGTAAAAAAAACTAGAGGAATGCCAGAGTGACGTAAGATGTGATGTGGGAAGTTCCAAACATTAATCTTTTAATGAGTGCCAACGTAGATGTAATGTTAGTTGACTTTATAGCGAAATGTGATCAAGGACATATTGAATTTGCAGGAGCTGGCACTGACAGCGAGGTTGTTGACACTACTTACACACACACACACACACACACACACACACACACACACACACACACACACACACACACACACACACACACACACACACACACAACTAACACACACACACACCTCTATATATATTATTTTGTTCCTTGAAGGATGGGGGGGGATGTGATGCAAGTTAAGCACTCTTCGTCCGAGGAATTGGAGCTTTTCTCTTGTATTAAACCTTATTGCCTTCCATTTCCAGGGTGCTGTTATGACCCCTGTGAGTTTAGCGCTTCCCCGTGATTATCTTAATAGCAATTCTCATTTTCTTGCAAACTAGCGCAAACATGAATACAATGGGGTGTGAACCTGTAGTCTCTTAGTTGGGTCATGTGAAGACGGTTTCAGGGATCAGCGCCCCCGAGGCCCGGTCCCAGACCTGGCATCCTGGTTGATGACCTGATCAACCAGGCTACTGGTGCTAGCCGCACACAGTCCATGAAACACCACAGCCTAGCTGATCAGGAACTAGCTTCAGGAACTTATCCGACTCCCTGTTAAAGACAACCAAGGGTCTGTTGCTAATTCCTCTTATATATGAAGGGAGAGTGTTGAAAAAGGTCTTGGTCCCTTTACATTAATTAATTTATTTTTTAGTGTACTGATTGCACCCGTTTTTCACTGGAAGTATTCTCCACTAATTGTCAAACCTCGTGGTCTCGTATGGAGTGATATCGCTGTGTAGATTTGGGACCAGTCCGTCCAGGATTTTCCAAGTATAAATTATAATGTATCATTCCCGTCTACATTTTAAGGAGTATAGTTCAAGGAACTTCAAGTGTTCCCAACAATTTAGATGCCTGGATGAATTTATACGAGTAGTGACAGTTTTCTGTCCATTCTCCAGTTCTGCTATTTCACTGCCTTAAAAGGCACTAATGTACAGCAGTATTGCAGTCTAGTGAGAACAAGTGACTTAACTTATCCAATATTATAAATATGAATATGATAAGAGTTAACAATGCGAAGATATAAGATTAAACTACGTCGTTCCCCGCCACCGGTCAAGGCACCTGTTGTGAGATATTCAAGTTGACATTTAATGTTGAGACTGACCCCGAGTCTTGTTCCTTCTCCTCTCCTCCTCCAGGATACGTCAAGTGTACTTCTTCAGGATACCTGCAATTTACTAAGCTGTGGTTTAAGCTGGCTGTGGTTTACCTTAAACTATGGTAATAGTGATTTATAATAATAATATAAGCAATAACAGTAATAATAATAATACGCTGATAATAAAACGCCATATACAAGGATATACACAGCGAGGTGTGTTTGTTTCAGTATACCTGGAGAGAGTTCCGGGGGTCAACGCCCCCAGGGCCCGGTCTGTGACCAGGCCTCATGATGGATCAGCACCTGAGAGTTTAGTTTTTATTTTAGGGATTACAGTATTAGTGTGTTCAGGTACAAGTACACATAACTACAGTTACATAAATTATCATACATAGCAGCACATGTGAAGATTACCCAGGATAACCCAGGAAAGTCAAAGTGACTTACTACCACTGACTGGTGAACAGATTACATGCAGCCTCAATGACCCTCGTGTAGTAGACAGGCTTAAACCCCATTAACCAACCACTATAAAATGCTAATAGAAATCACTATATATATTTATACAAACACTATACACACTAGTATAAATACTGTACACACTGATGTTATATATTATACATGTTGATATAAGAGAAAGAAAAGCGGTAGAGAATGACTAAAACAGAAAGTCCTCTAGTACTTGTGGTACAGACGGTGACAGATGTTAGGTTAATGTGATGACCACTCCACCACCACCACACCACTCCACCACACCTCTCCACCAAAACCACTCCACACTACCAGACCCCTCGTTATCCGGCTACTCCATTATCCAACCACTCCATTATCTTACAGTACACCAGGCCGCGAGGCCGTTGACCCTCGGAAGCATCCTTCAGGCATCCTTCAGCTTCTCTTCATAAGAACATAAGAAGGAACACTGCAGCAGGCCTACTGGCCCATACCTGGAGGTTATTCCGGGGATCAACGCCCCCCGGGGCCCGGTCCATAACCAGGCCTCCCGATGGATCAGAGCCTGATCAACTAGGCTGTTACTGCTGGCCGCACGCAGTCCAATGCATGTCTTTTTCTTCATCTTGTCGGTATCACCATACCATTTACTTTCATAACGGTTAAATATAGTTAGGTTTTACTCTCACTATACACGGTAACTATTATATAAGAATAGGTAGCAGCACACTGCTGATATATACAATTTTGCTAGAAGAAAAATATTTCAACTACCTGGAGGTTACCTGGAGGTTATTCCGGGGATCAACGCCCCCGCGGCCCGGTCCACGACCAGGCCTTCCGATGGATCAGGGCCTGATCAACTAGGCTGTTACTGCTGGCCGCACGCAGTCCGACGTACGAGCCACAGCCCGGCTGATCCGGCACTGACTTTAGGTATCTGTCCAGCTCTCTCTTGAAGGCAGCCAGGGGTTTATTGGCAATTCCCCTAATGCTTGATGGGAGGCTGTTGAACAGTTTTGGGCCCCGGACACTTATGGTGTTTTCTCTTAGTGTACCAATGGCGCCCCTACTTTTTATTGGCGGCATTTTGCATCGCCTGCCCAGTCTTTTACTTTCGTAGGGAGTGATTTCTGTGTGCAGATTTGGGACCATTCCTTCCAAGATTTTCCAAGTGTAGATTATGATATATCTCTCCCTCCTGCGTTCCAACGAGTACAAGTCAAGTGCTTTCAAGCGTTCCCAGTAGTTAAGGTGCTTGACAGAACTTATACGTGCGGTAAAGGATCTCTGTACACTCTCTAGATCTGCGATTTCACCTGCTTTGTATGGAGATGTTAATGTACAGCAGTATTCCAGCCTAGAGAGAACAAGTGATTTGAAAAGGATCATCATGGGCTTGGCATCTCTCGTTTTGAAAGTTCTCATTATCCATCCTATCATTTTCTTTGCACGTGCGATCGTGGCACTGTTGTGATCCTTGAAAGTGAGATCCTCAGACATTACTACTCCCAGGTCCCTTACATTATTTTTCCGCTCTATTGTATGGCCGGACTCAGTAGTATACTCTGTTCTAGTTATTATCTCCTCCAGTTTTCCATAACGGAGTAGTTGGAATTTGTCCTCATTGAACATCATATTGTTTACCGTGGCCCACTGGAAAACTTTGTTTATATCTTCTTGGAGGTTAACCGCGTCCTCAGCAGATGACAGCCTCATGCAGATCCTAGTATCATCCGCAAAGGATGATACGGTGCTGTGGTGTATATCTCTGTTTATGTCTGATATGAGGATAAGGAATAAGATGGGGGCGAGTACTGTGCCTTGTGGAACAGAGCTCTTCACTATGACAGCCTCCGATTTAACTCTGTTGACCACTACTCTTTGTGTTCGATTTGTTAGGAAGTTGAAGATCCATCTCCCCACTTTCCCAGTTATTCCTTTAGCACGTATTTTATGGGCTATTACGCCATGATCGCATTTGTCAAATGCTTTTGCAAAGTCTGTGTATATTACATCTGCATTCTGATTTTCTTCCAGTGCATCCAAGGCCATGTCATAGTGATCCAGTAGTTGTGAGAGGCAGGAGCGACCTGCCCTGAACCCATGTTGCCCTGGATTGTGCAGATTTTGGGAATCCAGGTGATTTGCAATCCTGCTTCTTAGCACTCTTTCAAAGATTTTTATGATGTGGGACGTCAGAGCTATTGGTCTATAGTTCTTAGCTAATGCTTTGCTGCCACCTTTATGGAGCGGGGCTATATCCGTTGTTTTAAGTGACTGTGGAATTTCACCCATGTCCAAGCTCCTCCTCCATATTTTTCCTTGAAGCCGTTTTATTTACTTCTCCAAGGCTATGGGTCATGAGTTACACCAGGGACGGGTCCCTTATTTTGTCTTATCTTAGGGTTAAGGGAGGCAGGGATAGGGATATAAGGGGAGAAAGAAGGGTATTGATGGGAGGCGGGAGAGAGGTAAGGTAGAGGCAGAGGTTAGGGGTGATAAGGATGAGGGGAAGAGAGGAGGTATGGAAGGAGGGATAGAGGGGTGGTAGGGATGGAGAGAAGGGTGAAGGGTAGTAGAGATGGAAGCAAGGGTGGCAAGGATGGAGGAGGGAGGGATGGAGGATGGAAGGGAGAAGCAGCAGAAGGATGACAGACTCTCAACACTCAAAACATCCCCGTGTTTACACCCCTCAAGATAAACACATGGTGCCAAGTGAAGCTTTAAATATTTGCGCGTAACTTTACGTTTGTTCTGGCAGACACTGAGGTGAGCCACGGCAGGCAAGATGAACCATGTCAGTCATGGAGGTGAGTCATGTCAGGCACGGAGGGGAGTCATGGCATCCACGAAGGTGAGTCATGGTAGGATCGAGTCCCACATTTTATACATTCATTGGAAGCTCTAA